TCTTACTTTTTACTCCACTACATTATGCAAAATCTGTCGTTCCTTTTGGCTTATGTGTGCATAACGTAACGTCAAAACGAAAGAAGCATGAAGCAAGAACACTAATCAGGGTACGGCGCACACTTTGTTTTGAGCTTGTTTTGACCTGTTGGACATACCTACCCAGTGCAGCAGCGTAAAATTTTGGGAGTGCCTACCTAAATGAGGGAACTCACCTAACTTTGTGTAAATAGTCCACAATATAGTAATACGTACACATATGCAGTTGTGACTGAAATGCGTCTTTTTTCTGACTTTATACAAACACTTTCATTTTATAGTAAATTCGTTTTGGCTAGTTTATGTTTACGAACAGAGACCTACAGATGCAATATAGTTAAGGAAAACTCATTGGTGAACCTGTGTTTAAAGCAAGTTTTTCTTAAACTTAAACTTGTAACTAAGTTGCAAATAAACCTTAACCTGACACTTTGCACGTTTGCAAAAAGTTATTTCATAGCCACTTGGTTCTACCTAATGGACATTGTTGGCCTTCAGTGTTTTGTGCTTATGATCATTTTAATAAACATCAGCATCAGACTAATTAATCACATTCTATTAAAAGATTGGTTTACTAAGAGTGACACTAGAGTATTTTCACCTAAAATAAGTTGATGAAGCAAGATTCTTGTTTTACTGGAGTAATATTTTACCTTGGGTATCTCTACTTTAACTCAAGTACATGATTTGTGTACTTCGTCCACCACTGCACTGGCACATATGCTGCCTTCAAGTCTTGTTGGAAATATGGGATTGACGAGATGAATGCACGTGTGGGAAACTAGTGGAAAACTCTGATTTTTTAATGAGCTCTGAGTTTCCGAGTTGGGGGCGTGTCAACAAAAAAGCTGATAAACTCACTGTATTTCAGTTACTAATCAGCCACACTCTTACTGCAATCCAAAACCATCCACACATGGAAATACAGATATAAGCACGTTATGTGATAAATAACGTTATCTGCTCTTCACTTTGTTGCAGTGACACAAAATACACAGACAGAAAAACAAAAATAAACCAAAAACATTATTTCCAGTGTATCTGTCTTATTTCCAACCAAAACCACACACACACACACACACACACACACACACACACACACACTTTCTGAAAACACTTATCCTTCTGGGTCCAACCAAACCCACTTGAATGCAAATCAAGTCATACTTATAAATGTCCGAGAAGGACTTGAAGGCAGCAATAGACCACTGTAGTTGTGTGTCATTCTGTAGTCCCCTTTATGCCCATATTAGGAACTCCAGGTCTAAGCTCCATTTCTCTATGACCAGAATGAATAGAGTTTAGATTTTTGAAAAGTCGCCTCTATCGCACCCTGTGTTAAATAAAAAATGTTCAGAACCCGATACATTTTGTCCTGTGTATATTTTTCTCCCGAATACCACTGGATCCCCCGAATGATGAGGTCGTTAAAGAGCTATAATACTAATTTTGCTACATGCAAGCTAAAGCTACTGCGCATCAATTTGATGTCACTAATGTACAATCCGACCTGTCCAGGGTGTATCCGCCTTCCACCCAATGACTGCTGGCATAGGATCCAGCTCCCTCCACGACCCAGAAGGATAAGCGGCTTAGAAAGTGTGTGTATGTGTAAGCTACACTCTGTTGTAATCAGGGACAGCAACTTCTCAGAAGGCAAAAAGGCCTTTCTCAGATCTTCATCATCAACCAGTATGAATCCTGTGGTAAATGATGTCATCACTCCTGACAAAAACTGTTTATCCAATGTCTTAAGAATTAAAAGAGCACAAAACATTTCTTTTATCAGCACAAAATAGCACAAATGCAGCACAAACAAATGAGACCATTCTGGCGCTTTTTGGATGTTGCTGGGGGGACTGAGTGACGTCACGTGCCAAATCTTGTTGCTTAATAACTTGTACATTAAGAGCACAAACATTTAGCAGCACAAACGCAGCACAAACGAATGAGACTGTACGTCAAATCATATTGCCTAATAACTTAAAAAAACTAAAACAGCACAAAAGTTTATTTAACACAAACGCAGCACAAATGAATGAGACTGTTTTGGCGCGATTTGGACGTTGATGGGGGTGAGTGACATCATTCATCGAAACTTTATGGCTTTATAACTAGAGAATTAAAACAGCACAAACGCAGCACAAACGAATGAGACCATGTTTGCGCCATTTAGACGTTGATGGGAGGCAGAGTGACGTCACGTAATAAATTGAATGCTTAGTTTCTCCAAAACGCTGCCAACACAAACAATGATTCCTACAAACCAGCATAAACACAGCACAAACGAATAGAGGTATTTTTATTCCATTGTCACCACATGGGAGGCCAGCTTTATGGAGGTGAAGTGAACTGCTAAATTGGTTTGTAACTATAGCTGCTCTCAGCAATACAAGTAAAACTAAATGATATGTTAATTTCTGTCTCTGGTTCTTATAAGTTATATTAGTAGTCTTGTATAGTTCTACAGTTGAGTTTGCACGCTGCGTGTTTCTTTTAAGTTAGTGATTAGCCAGCTCCAGGCTCACTATAGCTGATTGTTGCTATTCACTGGAGTTGGATTATTGAGTAGGTATAAAATAATTTTACAGAAGGCAACACGATTAGTTTTATTTAGCGAGCAAGGTAAATCTTCCAGCTTGGATAGGTGGCGCATTGAAAACAGCAACCCTCACCCCCAGTGCATGCTGCCTCAGCTTTCAAGCCCAGTAGTCCCCAGTCGAGCCCAGCACATTTACCAACACTGAGCAAAGCGTTACTGCCTTGGTGTCACAAGCAGCAAACATCCATCCTCCACAAAATCTTTTACATTTTTTAATTCTAACTTATCTGAAGCTTTCTAAACTATTTAATCTCTTTAATTTTATTCTCTCCAGAATTCCAATATTCTACAAATGCAATTCCAAAAAGGTTGGGCCAGTAGGTGAAATACATATAAAAACAGAAAGCAGTGATTTGTAAGTTCACTTAAACTTGTGTAAATGTTAAAATCACCAAGGCTCACCACTGCTGATAAATGTGTACATATACATTTTGTAGCAACACATGCTGCTATCCACACTCTTAAAAAAGATAGTTCTTTAGTAATGAAAATGGCTCTACTGAACACTCAAAGAACCATTTGCATGATCAAAAGATTCTTTGCATTGTGAAAGGGTTCTTCAAAATTGATGGAGAATGTCAAGTCAAGTCAAAGTTTATTTATATCGCACTTTTTACAACAGGTGTTGTTACAAAGCAGCTTTACAGAAAAATCTGGGTCCAAGCCCCCATGAGCAAGCCAATGGTAACAGTGGCAAGGAAAAACTCCCTAAGAGCAAGAGGAAGAAACCTTAAGAGCGAGAGGAAGAAACCTTGAGAGGAGCAAAGACTCTTCCTCTTCTGGTCAACACTGGATAGCAAACAGCATTAGTATAAAATATTAGAATACAAAACGGGGAAAAACAGGCGGAGCAATGGTTAATTAGATAGTTTGAGTTTATGCAGCAGCAGAAGCAGCAGCAGGGTCAGTTCATGAAGGTCAGGTTTGCACAGCGTTGTACAGCATGAAGCTCAATGGTGGTCAAAACGGTCCAGAAGGCTGAAACGGTCCAGAAGGCTAGCAAGCAGTGGGCACCCGATCAAGGCAGAAGAAGCAACAGCATCAGACCACACAGGATGGGGAGTTGAATGTGCTATATATAGTTATACAACACGCCCTGCAACACATTCTCCATCAATCTGAAGAACGATTTTACTATACAAAGACCCTTTTAATTATGCCAAGGGTTCTTTGAGTGTTCATAAAGAACCATCTTTTTTAAGTGCGTAGACAACATCTAGGTATTTCAGGTACGTCCCTGCTTGTTTCAGCAAGCCAACGCTAAGCCACATTCTGCACGAGTTACATCAACACAATAAGGGAGTACTGGTGTCTGCCCGCAGTCCAGATCTATCTCCCTTTAAAACCGTGTGGAGCATTATGAATCGCATTGTATGACAATGGAAACATGAAACTGTTGAGTAGCTGAAAAAGAACTACAATCAGTCTCAAAGCAATTATTAAGTGCATTTAAAAAGGAAAGGTGATGGAACACAGTGATAAACATCACCTGTCCCAATGTCACTGAACATGTTGCAGGCATCAAATTTAGAATAAGAATACATAGACAACGACCAGACACCTCATAACCTACTGTTTAAAGTTACTGCTATTGCATGAACTAGGCTCAACAAGCAAACGCAGTGAAAGAAACCCATTACCTCTTGTAGTGCCATCTAAAAAATCTTCATGCATCAAAAAGAACAAGTATCCGCGGAGCCTTAAGCCACTCGAGAAACGCTGGATAGCAGCCGTAAAAGCTCGACCACCTTTAACCTTGGTGGCTGTTCTTAGGCCAGGGGTGTCCCATCTTAACCACAAAGGACCAGTGTGGCTACAGGTTTTCATTCAAAATAAGCTGGAGCACACCTGATTCCACTTGTTTAATCAGTTGGTTTCAGTCTTCAAACTGCTAATCAGGTGATCTCCTGCTTTGTTAAAATGAAAACCTGCAGGCACACTGGGCCTTTGTGGATAAGATTGGACACCCCTGTCTTAGGCAGTGTCGGAAAGGCCCTTGCTGAATGTGCCGGAGTGAAATGACGAAGTGCCTGTGCAGTGACTGAAGCGGCTGCTTCCTACCGTCACAAGAGCCGCCATTTCCGCCTGTCATGCGGCACACAAAGATTAAGGCCCTACAGTAAAAAGACAACTTTGCATTGGCTTCTTTAAATTGACTAAATGCTGCCTCTTACCAACAATGCAACAGGACTGAGTTTAACATTAGAGAGGGAAAAAAAAACAAAGTTTAATAGCCAATTTAAACTCATAGTCAAAAGCTTGTGTGGGAAAAAATGTAAGCGGTTTATGAGTATAGGGCCAATTTTGATTTAGACTGCATGAGAAGAAAAAACAGCCACCTCTAAAATTAGATATTTATTCATAAATTCACATTATTTCAAAATGTACACAGCAACAATGAAACAGCCCAACTTTATATATATCATAAGAGGCAGGTGATAGTGCCAACACCAAAACAAGATATCAACCTTAATACCTACAATATCTTCTTGCACAGTGTTTCACAGTGTCTGAAAAAGCCACTGCTGCTGGGATGCTGATTCAGCAACACTGTCACAGGACAAGCATTTCACTGCAAACTATGGGATATGCATATTGGAAGTCTTGAGTCCATAAATATGTTACAATCAATTTGGTGTAAACTCTATTGATATTAAAAAAACAGTTAGTGGAAATGAACGTACAGCAGACTTACAGCACTTTAACACGACAGTGGCCCGAAGCCAAGACACTAATTCCAACATTCAAAGAGCAAAGCATTAAGACAACCTGGCATAAATGACTGTTTTACAAGAATCAACAGGTCCAACACCATAAAACGTTTATTGCACACCAGTCAGAAGCGACAAAGGACAGAAGGAATGCTGGTTAGATTAATAATGCATTTCATAGCTATTTTCATGATAGATAATCTGGCAGCACTGTTTAAATCCAATGTAAATATATAAAATACTTTTAGCAAGAGGACATCAGCAGGACAGTGAGCGCCTTATACAGAAAATGAGGAAGGTTGCCATGTTGAAGTTACTGCTAGGGCATAGTGTGGCTATTTGTCATTCAGCAGATCCTTTCCTCATGCAACAAAGGCTATTTCATACAATATGTAACATTTCTTAATTATTTCTGAGAACCTGTCTAAATGTGTTAGTAGCCACTGCCTGCACACTGTAAAACAGCTTCCACTTGCAAAGAAGACATAGGTGTAATTCTGGGAGGCTTGATGTTTACATGGTGAAATGCCTTGTGTAATCATATTCTATTGTTGGAATGACAGCTTGCACAAATTTCAAGAAAATCAGAAGATACCTGGATGTCATAGTTAAGGAAAATTATTGTATACTTTTCTGGTATTAAAATGTATTGTATCAAAATAAATTATTCTTTCCAACATTCTAAAAAGGGAAACAACAGTAGTAATTCACAAATGTATGTGTGGGTAATAAGGAGACGTTATACACTTTGATTCACTTGCTCAGATATTGATAAAGACACAGTCAGGAATTTGAATTTCCAAATCAGCACATACATTTTCTACACTTAATAGATGTTCACTGAGCTAGGGCAGTTCCTCTTGTACTTTTGTTTAAGATCAAAATGAACACATCCCTTTATTTTGGTATTTTTGAGTTTTTAAATTGTATTCGCCCAAGACTAAGAAAGGATACATATGAACTCCAAGCTCTCCTCCACCTTCAGCCACTGTCTCAATGATCTTCTTCATGACTTCGGCATGTCTGTGAGGAAAAAAAAAGACAATTTACAGCTCAAATGTAATTGATTAAGCTCTACTGACAGTGTGCCTCTTTTGTTTTAAATTAACTGCTCAGACTTCTTTTAAGGCCATCATAGATGTGACAGTGATCTTCTTGCTTCTTCCTGGTTTGCATAACTTCTTCAAATAGGTTGTTCAAAAAACACAACAAGCCAGTAGTAACCTTCAATGCATTTAGACGTTTTGAAAGTATTTCATTTGTATTTCATCAGCTTTTATTCATTTAATGAATAAAAGCTATTTTACATACAGCAGACACTATGTGGTTAGTATAGTTATTTCCAAGTACACCTGGCATAGGTATGCCTTTAATATAATGAACTATTTTGAAGTGGGGAAAACAGAAGACTTTGTAACATTTTGAGGATTTAGAGAAATATTTTATAATGAAATTTTACTCTGCCGTTTCCACCATGTTTTTACAGTAAGTTCAGGTAAGGTCATCTGGTATTAATATTGTATGTTTCATTAATGATTCTCCCAAAGAAGTAATTACAAGTTAGGACAGTATGTGTAATGCAAATAAAAACAAAAAGCAGTGATTTGTAAATCCACTTTGACCTGTACAAAACAGTACAAAGACAAGATATTTCATGTTTTACATTATTACATTATTAACTTCATTGTTTTTTGTGAACATTTGCTAATTTTGGAATTGATGTATGCAACACATTCCAAAAAAAAAAAATGGGCAATGACCTCTCTGGGCTTAATCTCATCTCATCAATAGACCGGGGAAATGTATATTTGACCTTTCAGACTGTTTATGGAAATATAGATGTCATTTTCTTCAGGCCAAAGAGGAAAAAGAACCATCCATTTTAAAGTTAAAAATCCAGGGTCTATCACAGTAAAGGGGTGTATTAGTGGGAATGGCATGGGTTACTTGCATATCTCTGAAAGTACCATTAACGCTGAAAGATATATAAACAGTTAGGAGTAACATATCTTCTAGATGACGTCTTGTTAAGACCATGCATGTTTATTTCAACATTCGCCAAGCCCCATTTTGAAGAATATCAAATTTTGATTTATCAGACCACAGGACACTTTTCCAGTTCACCTCAGTCCATCTTAAATGACCTCAGGCCCAGAGAAGGAGGCAGCGTTTCTTGATCCTGTTTACATATGGTTTCTTCTTGCACAGAAGTGTTTTGACTACCAGTGTTTCAGTGTGCCGCCTGAGGGTCCAAAGATCACCTTTTGCCAATTAACCTAATTATTTTGTGAGACGTTCCACCAAGTGTTTTTTTAGCATTATACAACTTGACCAGTCTTTGTTGCCACTGTCCCAACTTTTTTTGAAATGTGTTGCTGGCATCAAATTCAAAATGGGCATATATTTAAAAAAAAACAACAACACAATTTCTCAGTTTCAACATATGTTGTCTTTGTACTATTTTCAATTAAATATAGGGTTTAAATGCTTTTGAATGATTTACACAACATTACTGTTTTTTTATTTACATTTTACCAAGTATCCCAATGTTTTTGGAAATGTATCTTCCAACATTTTTGGAATTAAGGTTTGCAATTAAACATGTATGTGAGCAACAGCTATCATCACTAACACAGCTTAGCAATTCGGAACAAATTTCAGGAAAGACTCGGTTTGAGTTTTAGTACCTGCATGGATGCACAGAGCACATGGCAGGAGGAGGCAAGTGTGGGTGGTTTTCAATGGTGACAGTTTTCTTCACATGATCCTGACTGATGTCTTCATACATTTGATCCACAGTGAGAGGCTGTCTTTCCTGAGAAACAGCACAAAAGAACAAAACAAATGATTGCACTGCATGACCTCAAATTACTATTTGAAAAAACCTTCAGCATTGGACTACTGAAGCTCTCTGTTTTAAAGCTGAACCTCATCATATCCAAAGAGCCACAGCCTGGGAGTTTGATAGTATTTGTCATAAGTGATGTACAGGTCGTAGGTTCTTGTTTGTAGAATGGCATCTTCTCCGACCGCTTCAACCTTGCATTTGGCTGTATCCGGAATTTTACTTGTGTCAAGTGTGGCCTATACAAATGAAATGAAATTAGCAAACAAACAATTACAACTAGGTTAACTAATAAATCACCATGGGCTAAAACAGAATATTATATAAGGGGGAGAAAATATATTATATATATATAAATAAATAAATAAATAAATCAGTTAACAAGCCCTGATCTCACTGTACCTCGTCTGTTTCCAAGAGCCCACTTTCTTCATATTCTGAAATACAAACATCAGGTTTATATCAAATTAAGACAAAGTAACTATATTTTTGATTCAAGAAGAAAATCAACATTCCACCAGAAGCATTACAGGGATCTATTTCCATTAGTGTACAAACACCGTCTGACAGTACTACAACATACTGATATTTTTATGACTGCAAAGTTCCTTTTGATAAATTTGTGCCTTGTACAATGAGAAGCACACAAGCACAGAACAGAAGGTGTTTTCACAAAGATGTAAGATTGCGCAAAAATGTTCAAGAACTATGTCAATTTTCAGCGCAACATCTACAACCCAGCACAATCTGCTATATGAAGGTGTAACGGTCACAAAGAGCCACAAAGGGCCAGTGTAGCTGCAGGTTTTCACTTCAACAAAGCAGATCACCTGATCAGTTTGAAGACTGAAACCAACTGATTAAACAAGTGGAATCAGGTGTGCTCCAGCTTGTTTTCAGCGAAAATCTGCAGCCACACCGGTCCTTTGTGGTTTAGATTGGACACGCCTGTGTTAGACATTAGGTGCAAATATAATGCATGCTGAAAATGTATAGCTGTTACAGTGTGTGATAATGTTCTTGACTTTACTGACACCAATGGCAATAGATGGATATGATTTCTAACATACATCTTTTATGATTGAACTCAAATACCTATTTAACTGAGGCCTTTACCTAACTAACCTTTACCTAACATACAAAAAAGGATATAGGTGAGATGCAAACTTCACAATACTCAAATCCTATTCTACATAACATTTCCATCTGTATTTGCTGCATTGCACAGACTTGGTTTTAAATGCTAATTTCTGGTGAAGAGCCTACCTTTACTTAATATGCTGATATTTAACACAGTAATGGAAGATGTAAGTTCAAAGAGAACAGGATGAAGGCACAGGGAGAGGCTGGATGGGCAAAGGATGACACATACTTATCAAACCTCTCACTTTGAAAATGCTGATCTGGGATCAGTTTTTGCTTTTTACATAGCATTGAACAAGACAACAGAATTATAAGGTCTGATGAGGCCAGATCTTAGATCTTCTTACTTTGTGGTGGATGAATACGGTAATGTTAGCAGTGAAATATTAGAGACACTGCAATGACGGGTCAACTCCAGTGTTTAGGCACTCTTCTTAGGCTACAGAAGATGCTTACAAACTTGGGACAATATGATCCACTGAAAAGATACTAACAACCATGCCCTCCTGTTGATATTCTACTTTAGCTAGCCCTGCTGCGCTTAGTTTGCATGGACTGGCTTGCATGAACACACATCAGTTTGTGCTGCATGGAAGTTTGTGAGCTTTGAGTGACAAAACAATTGCCTAACTTTTACCTTCCATATCTGCTGCCTCTCCCTCATCATCATCGTCATCATCATCACCATTTCCACTGCCCACATTCACATTCATGTTTATATTGTCCTTCAAAAGGGGAGAAGGCACACAGTAAGACATGCTATGCTCAATTATGAACTTGCCAATTGGAAGTTGATAATATCCAGCTCAAAAAACAAACAGATCTTGCCTTTTTCAACATCAGTTAAAAATGTCTAAGGTCTCAGAATTTACCCAATGACATTCATATTACAGTCTTACTTTGTTATCCAAAGAGATCTCCCGAACTGCCTCGGTCATTCCTGTCACACCTGGCAAAGTGACAAATTTTGTAAATCTTACTGTCTAACACTTTTATCACACATTATTTATTAACAGATGCTTATGTCTCACCAGAGTTATGATAGGTGTCAACCCATCCTCCATCTCCATCATCCTCTTCTATAATAGCCTCCAACTCATCAGAGTATTCCATTTGTTTACAACGTTTGTAACATGGCACTGAGATAGAGGGACATAAGATAGAAACTGTGCATGTAATTTAAAGACCAGGGCCCATATTACAGAAGCATCCTATCTTTTTGTCTTAACTTACAATCTGACAGATCAAGATAAGATTTTCACAAACTTGTATTACAGAAGCAAATCTTATCTTAATTTAGAAATCGTATATTACAGCATCTTAAGTTAGAACATCTTAACTTACTCGATCAAAGTTGACAATTAACTGTCATGTCTGTTACCTAGCAACTGACCATATGTGCACAGCTGAAACACGTAATCAAAATAATCAAGTTAGTTAGCAAGACAGCTAGCTATCCTTACTGATGTAAAAAAAAAAAAAAGTCAAAAACACCCAAAGTGCTAGAAGCCTGAAGTTAAGAATATTGTGACAGTGCTTCATGATGTTCATCAGTGTCTGCACTCTCCATTTTTAGTTTCCCCAAATGCTTTAGCCAACCACGCTAACATTATTCCTCCTAATAAACAGACAAACGTTCAGCTCTGTCTCCTCATTATTCACCACCATCACCATCATATTTTATCTGATATGTTTGATATAACAATAACACAAGAAGGTAATACGAAGGGGCATTGAAGATCTTGTCTGCAGTGTCTAGGGCTTTTAAAACACTGTTAGAAAAAAAACATAAGACCTTGTTAATCAAAGCACCATTTTCAGTGTACATAAATGTTACATCTTTATGCTAGTTATAGTGAACTATGCTGCCTGTGACTGCATAAAATGATAGAAACAGATGGTTAAAGTTAGGATGTTCCTGTAATCCTGTTTTCTAATCTGGACTTAATGGGTAAGATTATGAATTTAGGAGCTTCTTAGGAGTGATTAAGCAGATGAGATTTCAGACGCAAGACGTTTCTGCAATACAGCCCCAGATTTATATGGACTATTCTAATGAATTAGTTCAAACTGCAGTTCCACTGTAATTAAATAAAAGAAATTACATATTCAGACCTTAGAGATTTACGAGGATAATGTTATGATCTATTTAAACTCAAGTACTTTCTACTGGGAGGTGTCTGTCCCAAACCCAAAAATTCAATTTTTTTGTGAAAATAATACTTAGTTGATTTTGTATTTTTGCAGTGTTTATTTAAAACATTTTTTTTATTTTAAAGTGATGTTGAAATATTTAGATTTATCATGAGCTTAATTTTTTAAATTAAAACGCTTTATTCAAAAAATGCTGTCCCACATTTTCATGTCACTATCAAAACACAAAGGCAGAGCCTTTTTTTTAGCCACACCCCTGCACTTTAGAGCAGGAAGTGATACTGCATCGCTGTTCATCATGGCCACATGGCGAGCAGTTAAATCTCATTGTTTTCAAGTAAATGTGTCCCAAAGTCTGAAAATCACATTGTAACCTTAAGAATTGTTACTAACAAAACATATTTTCTGCAATGAAGTAAATTTTGTGTTTTAATAGAAAAATATTATGATTTTGTGTGTGTACAACTGTTCAAAGCTGTGTTTGCTAGTCATGTACTGGCTAGCATTTGTGAGTTAGCTACAATTGTCACTACCAGTAATTGTTTTGGTAGTAAAAAACTGAATGTTCAATCGTTAGTTTTAAATCAACATAATTAAAGTACAGGCTCATTCAAAGCAAAATGATTTTTGTAGGTCAGTTAAAAGTCTGAAAGTCAGTTTTAAAAGTCCAAGTCAGTTAAAAGTCTGAAATATATTTTGAGTTCTGGTCCAAATCCGTAGAATAAACCATGTACACCCAGCGACTCATGAACAAAGGCTAAGCCTAATTTAATTTTGTATTTATAAATGAGTACTGCAGCTCCCGCCATTCAGTTAGGTGCCGTCTTTCTTACCATTTCGAGTTAATAGGAACTGCTTGTCTTTGGGCAAATACGGCTTCACCTTTGCTTCTTCACCAGATGCCCTACAGATAAACAAATTTGTCTTAACTGTGTGCTATTACTGACCAAGGACAAACAGTGAACTTTCTGCATGCTAGTTATTCAAGTTAAACCCTAAATCAACATAATGTAGTAGCAATTGACAGGATAACAGGATTTTAGATGCCAACTGCTGTAGATAAGTAGGCTGGTTATCATGTATGTAATTACTAAGTTAGGATTCACCCATTACTAGATCAAAACAGCTGCACCACCAGACTAGGTTCTAGGAGGGCAAGTTGTGACAACACAGGAAAACAAAGAGACAGGTAATGTGAAAAAGACTTGCAAAGCAAAAAAGTCAACCTCTGTCTTTCATCATAGCCTGCTGATTTGTTCTGAATTTATCACTGTCATAGTAAAGCATCAGTGCTTTCTTGGGTATATAAGGTACTGTGCAAAAGTCTTAGACATCTGAGGAAATGATATATAAAGCCATTGATCTGGGCAATAAGCATATATTTGTTAAAAAACAATAACATTAGAATAACTACAAACAAGCAATACATTGTGGTTTTGTTTATGTGCATCAGGGTGTTCATTTAATCATTTCCGACCAGTTCTTGAGGAAGCCCAGTTACCATCCAGTACCTAGTTTTGCCTAATCAATACTTCTTTACTTCATTCTTATACCTGTATTCTTCTGACCAAGATATTAATAGCTTCTTTAAAAACACACCAAAAAGTTATGTTTTACTGTGTTTATGTTTATTTATTTTTACTGGCAAGATAACCACCAAAATAAATAACTTTTAAACAATTGTCAAAGACTTCTGCACAGTAATGTACATCCTAGTTCTTATTAGCCAAGATATTACTTACAGACTGGTGGTGCAACCCAGTTTTCTTTAAAACCAACTAGTGGTAACTAAGGATTTATTAAAGACATAATAAACAAAATCACAGACTTCTGCCTAATCAGAGCAACCCAGGCCAGGTTTCAGCAAGAACCCAGGAAGCTTGAAATTTCAATGACAGCTAAACTCACGAATCACATTGCAAGAGCACATCTACAAGGGTACAATGAGAGCTCTCCAGAGAGATGGAGCTGAGTGCTGAAAAAGATGCCAGAGTTCTTACCATTTCCATGTGGGGCAGTGATGAACTAGATGATCTCCGGCAGCAACAAACTGCACAAAGACATACATTTAAGAAAAGTTTACAATCTAATATTACAATCTAAAACTGTAATTTAATATTCAGCACAACACTACCAAAAAACATTTACCTCCTCAGGAGTTATAACTCCAGTTTCTTTAAATTTGGATTCCTGCAAAACAACACGAGGCACGTTGAAACAATGACTCTGCAAAAAAGCTTTCGCGGTCAGACTGAGGTAAGCACTTAATGGCAGAAATTTTCCCACGTTCATGAGGATCAGTGTAAAACTTAACAGCTACTTCGTGTGTAGCCTAATATATCTTGCGAGTATCATTTTGTAGCATTTCCACAATTAATAACGACGTTTACAGGACTAACGTTACCAAACGTTTTCATGTATTATTTTCGGTCGCATTCCTGTATTTATCTGGAAGAGGAAAAAGTTAGTGAACTCTGTCAGTTGTCAAGGCACCCCTGACAAGCACAACAAAGCTAATTAAATCAGAAGGGCTCGATTTACACAGGCCTTTAACAATACGATCGTACCGGTTTATGAAGCAGTTTATGGCTGAATTTTACAACTCCTGCCTAACAACATGACACACGAAAAGATACTGCACATTATCTCGTTGGAGCATTTTGCTGGCTATACCACCTAGCAAACATGACTGCCGAGCACACGACGGCTTACCTTCAGAACTGGTGTTAAAAACTCAGCCACCCCTAGAGCTGTGCCCTTCATAGAATTAATCACGTTCTGCATGCTGGCAGTGGGCTGTTTAAACAGCTTCTGTCTGTGGCAAAAATGACCTGCTTTTTCAATGAATCGAGCAACAAACGAGCACTGTTTACAGACTTTCTCGGCATCGAGCTTCCCCACATCACATACCACATGACCTAAATCATCTGACTAGTACTTCCGGCACTAAAGTCTCGCGAGAACCCTGCGCTCGTTCACGAGGATCTGACCTCACGGCGTGCGGCAAAAAATCACTGATCTTCAAGCACCACGCGCCTGGAATGTGTTGGCGTGTATGAGTTGTAGAGCGCAGGATTTGTGCAGCGTCTGCGCGGCCTTACCAGTCGGCTGTGCTCTTTCGATATGAAAGCTACTTTGAAATAGACTTTCTGCATAAGGTGACTATATTTGAGGCTTATCACACGTTCTGGCTTGATGCAGCAAAAGAACGTCCCCAAAGAGGCTTAATATTTTGTTTCTGCTGCAGTGTTTTACTTCTACAGGACCAATGCAGTAAAACAAATGTAGTAAATAGAAACGAAAACGAAACCTAAAACTGAAAACATGAATAAATCTAATTAGGCACGGTGTAAACGCAGGTCACGTGTGTTTATTGCACCGAGGCCTTAGGAACGTTGTTTCGTTCTGCTGTATACTTATATACACTGTCTACGTTAAATATTATCAGACAGTTGTGAATTAGACTTATGTCAAGCTCATGATTGCTGCTCCATTAGAAACAACTATACAATGGTTCGCAACACATGCATTTTGACACATTTTTTTTAGTTGTTGAGACACTGTCTGTAGAGTCATGCCAAACAGATGAGAACACAATTACCGGGACATTACATCATCTGAAGGGGTATTTCCTAGTCTTTTAACAGGAAATCTCACTCTCGGGACTATTATGGCTTGCTATAAGAAATAAGAAGGTATGTTTACAACAGAAGTAGCAATGGTTAAATTTTTCATTTTAGCTAGAGTGCCTCTTTAAGTGCTTTACAGGGCCCATTAAATGGTTAGCTACAAAATGGGCACAAAGGGTGGTGTTAGGGAAAATTTGCGTTGATGATCCTAACTGATTTTAAACCATCAGGTGATTTGGAGTGAAAAAATGCCTATGCTTTCAAAATCAGTCAAAAACAATGTAAGTGTGAACAAATGTGCAAAACATCATGAATATGTATGTATGTCACATCACATGTCAATTAGTCTCACTTTAGCTTGTGTATTTAGGGCTGCTCTGCAGCTTTAGCAGCCGAAAAGCAATAGTCAACTGAACTATTTTCCCTATACAGGATGCTCATGGGATATCGGTAACTCCACTGATTAAATCCCTTCATTAGCAGTGCCCTGCAACATAATCAAAGAAAGTAGTGATAGGCTAAACTTTCATGTCTAGTTCCTCAGTAGTGATGAAATCATCAATTCCCATTAAAAAAATCCATTTGAACATTTTCATTCTCTCTAGTCTTATTACTTAAAATATCTGATACCCTGCTCAGTCTGCTCTGCAGGGGACTATTAGACTGACTCGAATCTACCCTTTAACTGAGCCCTTCAAAGATCTACACTTTATAGTGAGGTACTTGCGATGCCCCCTTTTAGAGCTGAAAAAGTGAAGAGAAGAGATTGGATTAAACATAGATCTGGAATCCTGTCATTGCTCTTTGCAAGAACTACCTAAGTGCACGTATGTGGTAAGTAGACCTCATAAAATGGACAATAAATATGATTACAAGATAAGTGTACTTATTAAAATGTCTGATATGCAGGGTATATAGGGGTGCCCAATAAAGGTCCTGGAGATCCACCACCTCGCAGAGTTTAGCTTCAACCCAAACTAACATGCCTAATCCAGGTAATGAAGGCCTGGAGAAGGCATCTGAATAATAGAGCCAGGCATGTTGGATTTGAACTCTCCAGGGTAGTAGATCTCCAGGATCAGGATTGGGCACCCCTGGTGTATGTTATGTCAAGGTTTAAAAGCACAAACCACCACTGCTTTACAGAAGCTGAGAAAAAAAGTATTACAACACTCACTAGTCTCCCCAGTTTTATAGGCTTAGACCTTATACATTTATAAAGCAACCAAACTGAAAATTTATGCAAGATAACAGTAGATCTACTACAACTGCATCAGAAGCATACAATAAACTCATTTTCTTTTTTATTCCTAGTAAACACTGTCAATTCAAAAGCACCAAATTGAAACTGAAATGAGTACAGATAACTGCAATCTTATGTTGAAAACAGCAAACACATATAACTTTGAACATAATGCTGAGAGTAAAGCAATGACTGTGTGAGGATGTCCTTTTCCTATTAAAACCAATTGCTCTTGTTGGGAAATGCATGCCCATAAAACTCAATCTGGGGTACTGAAAACACACACACACACACATTTTCTAAAACGCTTTTCCTTCTGGGTCGCTGGGGTTGCTGGAGCCTATCCCAGCAGTAATTAGGCGGAAGGCAGGAAACACCCTGGACAGGTCGCCAGTCCATCACAGGGCAGACAGACAGACATACACATTCTCACACACTCACGGTTCTGAAAACACTGTCTCTTAAGCCAAAGGAGTTAGGGTGGTCGTTGTCAGCTAAATAATTGGTCAAGAGTGATCACGTGACCAAAATGACGTAGTCTGCGGGAATCTTTAATCATCTTTGGTGGTCCATAATCTTTCACAGATTAACAACAAAGTATCAAAATATATAGAAGTCAGTGTCTCATGAACGATCAGTATAGTGTTGCATTGCCAATGGCGCTGAATAGTAACCCCCCTCTGAACGGAGTCGCCTACAGCACAGATGAACGCACAGATGAACGTTTTACTGACTTAATCAAAATCCATAACAAAGAATACACTATACATTCCGATACATAACTATGTTTTCCATGTGACTACATTACTTTTAGGATTCATTCTCTTGAATATAAATTAGATTCTTATTTCCAAAAGTTACAGCGGTCAAAGAAAGACCACACACACTAATATCCTGGGAAAAGAGGAAAGGAGAGAGAAGTTCGGCGCCATTGCATTAGTGTTCGCCTCTCACCCAGTCTCTCTCCATCTATCTCTGCCTCTTTCTCCCCATCAGCATGAACGTGCGTTTTCTTTGCGATCTCTGAATAGTCTATCTTGTAACATTGACTTGGACTTAAAAGTGGAAATTCGCAATTTAAATACTGAGGTAAGTTACACTGGTAGCATGTGAAGTGTTTCCATTCTTGAACTAGACAACCGAACACTAATGAAGTGGCGTTGGACTTAAAGCCACATTGTAAGAAATCCTTAGCTAACTTCGTTTCTGATGGGCAAACTTGACCTAGAACTTCTCCATAGTTTGGCATGTTAGCCTACCAAGATAAAAAAAAGAAAAGAAAAAGTTTGCAGAAAGGAGGTTAACGCTTCAATCTCTGTTCTTTTACTTCGAAATGCCTAGAGTACAAGTTTAGTAGTCCTAACACTTATAGTCTGCTGGTGTATGCTGAAGACATTTTTTCCTATTTGTCGTGTAGGCAACGGCATAACAAATGGTTCCCAGATTCCCCCACCTTTTTTGATTTTTACTCCAAGGTTTTGCAAAGTCATAGGAAAACTTGAGCACTGTTTTCCTCAACACAGGTCTGTGTGAGATGACCAAGCCATGGATCTCCAACCTCGGTCACCGCTTGGATGACCCAGCTTCCCTATAATGAATACTAGCAGCAGCGAGGTTCTGCTGGGGAATGCTACAGACGTGGGAGACGGCAACATCAGAGTGGCTGAAACCATTTTTATTTTGGTCATCACTCTATTAGTTTTTCTTAGCAACCTGCTCGTAGTATTAACCCTTTACCGGAAGCCTTACTTGCTAACACCGAGCAACAAGTTTGTTTTCAGCCTGTCACTGTCTAACCTTCTGCTGTCTGTGTTGGTTCTGCCATTTGTGGTTGCCAGCTCTCTACAGCAGGAATGGCTGTTTGGTGTAGTGTGGTGCAACTTCACAGCACTGCTGTATCTGCTCATCAGTGCTGCAAGCATGCTCACATTGGGAGCCATTGCCATCGACAGGTGAGGCTGTTTCTTATACCTTTTCGATTCTAGATTTGCAGTGGAATATTATGACATCATTTAGCTACAGTACTGTGCAAAATTCAGAGACTGTGCTTCCATTTATTTATTTTCCATTCAAAACAGCCACCGAGGGCAAGTTAGTCTTTTTTAGTGTCAGGGGGAAAAAAGTAGTAAACATATTTAACTGGAAATTATATAAAAGCCTCCAAGACCAAGCATGTCAAATCTATTAGTATTAACTTAGTGCACTCTTTACTTTTGTGCATCCTGCTGTCAGTTTAAATCCTGCTTTGAATCTTAAAGCTTCCCACTCAACAAAGGATGTCCCCAGAGGTGTCACTGACATATGTTAGCCTGAAAAGATACACTAACATTCATAGAGATCCACTTGCATAGAGGTTCACAAAAAATGATTAAAAGACATAAAGAAGAGGGGACTCCTATAACAACCGTGCAAAGCCTCGTGGACAACCAAGTTGACCACCATTAGATAAACAATACATAAAGCACACTTGCTTCAGATTTGAAAAATCCACAAAGTATTTCTGCTCATCCTTTTACTGTGAGAAGACAACTTAACACTATAGGTCTGAAAGAACATATGGCCATCAAGGAGTTATCCCTAAGAAACAAAAAAAGAGGAAAATTTACACTAGAACACCACAACTGGACATTTACAATTTGGAGTAAGGTTTTATGGCATGATAAGTCTGAATTCGTAATTGGTTTGGATTACTTGGTTTGTGGAAAATGCAACCATCTAAAACTGAACTTTGGAAAACTCCCAAAAAGGATGGAAGCTGTAATCAAGAGTCGACATGCTAAATGCTGAAAAATTTGAGATTATATTTAGTTGTTGAGGTTTTTGTGTAATGTTCTGTTAAATATTTTTGCTGCTTTTTTTCTAAGGCTCAAAAATCAATCAGTTGTACTTAGACATTTTTACTGGAAATTATATAAGGCTAGGTTCACATTACAAGCCTCGTTGCTCAAATCCGATCTCTCTGACAGGATGGTTCACACTCCTTTAGGTAAGTGATTATAATCTGTAACTAGAAAGGGAAAGTTCGTGAACTTTAAACTTTAAAACTCCAAACTTTAAGTTGGCTTGAAAAAGCCAGTTAATTACGTTAAAACGTTAAAATGGTTGAAGACTGTTGATAGTTGTTAAAATGTTGCCAAAATTTAGTTAAGCAGAAGCTGCAGAATCCTTGGTGGATGGAAATTTTTTGCTAAATTCTACTGAGAATGAAGTTCCACCTTAAATTCTGTGCCACCTTAAATTTAGTGCTATGTTCATAGTGGTTCCACCTTAAATTTAATGCTATGTTAATTCCAGTTCCACCTTTAATTCTGTGCCACCTTAAATAAAGTCCCACCTTAAATTCTGTGCCACCTTAAATTTAGTGCTATGGTAATTGCAGTTCCACCTTAAATTTAGTGATTACGTTAATAGCAGTTCCACCTTAAATTTAATGCTATGTTAATTGAAGTTCCACCTTAAAATAAGTCATATGTTAATAGCAGTTCCACCTTCATTTTAATGCTAGGTTAACTGAAATTCCACCTCAAATTCTGTGTCATCTTTAATTTAGTGTTATGTTGATTGAAGTTCCACCTTAAATTTATTGTTATGCTAATTGAAGTTCCACCTTAAATTCAGTGCTAGCTAAGTGCAGTTCCACCTTAACAAATCATTATGTGTGCTGATACTGCTGAGCATTAGGCTGTGAGCATGGGAGACATTGGGCTCCGTGCGTGAGTTTGAATGTGTGTGAGAGAGAGGTGGCCATTGTGACATCATGTTTGGCATGCTGCCAACAGTCCGCCCATTCATTTCCTATGGGAAAAATATCGGCTTTGAACGTTAATTTTCCGGAAACCGTACATCGGATCGGTCCAAAAAACACAAGCGCACTATTCCCGTATATGAGGAACGCTTGTGCAAAATTTGGTGGTTGTACGTCAAAAACTGCGGGCCGTGAAAAGTTTACAAAATTTGAGCGTAGAATAATAATAATAATAATAATAATAATAATAATAAGATCACGAAGAACAGTAAGTTGGCTTTTTCAAGCCAACTTAATTAATGTTAACAAACCAGCGTCCTGAAATGACCTGCATGTGCACATCCTGCTCAGTAACGTCACGTGAATGAACCCCGTGCGTCACGCGCATTATAAGTAAACTATCGAGCAAAACGAGCCTTCGCTGCGAAGATAATTAACTCTGATCACCTCTCAGCTGTTCATTATTAGAGCGAGACGAAGTTGAAAAGGGTGAGATGTGTTGCTTTTCCACCGTTTGCAGGCAACTTCTGTTCGGCACTGCTGCCATTGGTAACGCTGAATGATGGCGCACGCGCAGTGGAGAAAAAGCACATGAATTCCGATCTCAGCGTTCACATCAAGGTCGCGTGGCCACGAATCGGATACGTATCCGATCCATGACCACATATGAAAGGCTACGTTCACATTACCAGGCTGAAGTAGCACAAATCCGATATTTTGCCCTAATGTGACTCAGATCTGATGTTTTCAGGGCTGTGTGGACACGCAAATCAGATCTTTTCAAATCCTACCTGTGTCACTTTCATATGTGGTCCTAGATCGGATAAGTATCTGATTCGTGGTCATGCGACCTTAATGAGAACGCTCAGATCGATTTTCATGTCCTTTTTTTCCACTGCGCGTGCGCCATCATTCAGCGTTACCATGGCAGCAGTGCCGAACAGAAGCTAAAGCCTGTAAAAGGTGGAAAAGCAACGCATCTCACCTTTTTCGCATTCGTCTCGCTCTAATAATGAACAGCTGAGAGCTTGTTAGTTTGTTTGCTGATGATGCACGTGACGCACGCGATTCATTCACGTGACGTTACTGAGTAGGATGTGCGCATGCGGGTCATTTCAGGACGCCGGTGCGTCCACCTTAATGACAGTTTTGAATCACTTACCTAAACCCGTGTGAACCATCCTGTCAGAGAGATCGGATTTGAGCAAAAAATCGGATTTGAACAATGAGGCTTCTAATGTGAACGTAGCTAAAGTGGTTCAGGTCGGATTTGAAAAGATCAGATTTGCATGTCCACACAGCTCTTAAAACATCAGATCTGAGTCACATTAGGGCAAAAAATCGGATCTGTGCCACTTGAACCAGGTAATGTGAACGTAGCCTAAATGAAAAGGTGGTCTCTGACTTCTGCAAAGTATGTGACATAAATTGCTAATGTGAAGTGTGATAATCAAAAATTTCAGTTTACATTATTAGCCAGTAGTGAACAAATGTGTATGTAAGCCTCAGCTGTTCATAATACATCTGTCATAGTCTCAAGACTGTACACAAAAATCAGTATACAAGGCATCCTCTAGTGAAAATGGTATTAGACGGTCCTGTTGGTATGCTAGCAGTCCCTGTAGTATTGGTCCTAACCCTTCTAGTTCATGACTCCATTATATCTTTACTCAAATTAGATGCTTCAGTAGAGAATTATTTTTATATAATTTTGCCAAGATTGTCCTTGCTAGTACACTAACTAATACACCGGTGCACCTGTTTCCTGTGTGTTTGTTTAGGTACTATGCAGTATTGTACCCCATTATCTATCCTACGAAGATCACAGGAAACCGGGCAGTTATGGCCATCATCTATGTGTGGCTCCATTCCATGGTGGGATGTCTGCCGCCTCTCTTTGGCTGGTCCACATTTGAGTTTGACCATTCCAAGCAGGCATGCATGGCGGCTTGGCACCGAGAGGTCAGCTACACATTCTTCTGGGTCATTTGGTGTGGGCTGCCTCCACTCTTTGTTATGCTGGTGTGCTATGGCTTCATATTCCAGGTGGCACATCACAAAGCTCGCAAGGTGCACTGTGGAACTATAGTTGTGGCACAGGAAGCCACTCTTTCTTCACAGAGAAACAGGCACAAGAGTTCAACCACATCCATCTCCTCTGCTGGGAGCCAGAGGTGCATGGTGTATGCTAGCAGCCAATGCGAAACTCTGGTCACCATTTTGGTGGTGGTTGGGATGTTCCTATTGACTTGGGGGCCGTATATAATTGTGTGGGGGGAAGGGAGTGTGTCTCCAGGGTTGGAGACAATGGTGACCTTGCTGTCTTTCCTCAGTGCTGCCTGTCATCCTCTCATCTATGGGCTGTGGAATAAAAGTGTGCACAAAGAGCTGCTGGGGATGTGCTTTGGTGACCGCTACTACAGAGAGTCATTTGTCATCCAACACAGGAGTTCACACCTCTTCAGCATCTCAAACCGGATCACAGGTCGGGAAAGTTTTGATTTTTGTGTCGGGACAATATGCTTGTATGTGCAGATGCATAGAAACGTATCTCTTTTTTGTTGCCGCAATGTTGTGTCCTGAGAGGATTTCCATTCTTTGTCCATATTGCTCTGAAATAATTGTATTGAATGAGCTCATGGCTAGAGCTCATGGTTTTTAAAACTCATGCATGGAAAGGAAGCAAAAGCTTATTTCAGTGATGAAGGGTGACAAAACACAAAGTTCAAAGATGTTTTCATACAGTACTGATTCACTTGCCTACATGCAGGAATTATTTGGCTTTTTTTAAATTCTACAAACATTACAATCAATAACCTTATTTCTTATTCTGTAGATCTCAGCATGTCTCCACACCTGACAGCTATGTTCGTGGTTGGAGGTCAGCTATTAGGAGCAGGAAGCAGCACAGGAGATACTGACTTCAGCTTCTCGCAGGACTCAGGTATTTTTCTTACCAGGAACATTATGGAGAAGCTGCCATGACTGTGATTTGCTAAACTGCCTATATGTTACCCATAGTAATATTAAGGGTTACTGTGCAGGCACAAGTATCATGTTGTTGGAGAATACTGAGACTTCAAAAATGCCACACTACAGTGCGGTATTTAGCAAGCGCAGAAGCTCCGTGACCTTTGAGAATAAACAGGGGGATCAACTTCCTAAAGGTACTCTAGTTGCATGAACAGTGAAGTGTTGGGGGAAAAAAAACAGTCCAAAAGAAATTTTGTGTTAATGTTCTACAGCTATATAAAAAGGGCTGGCATGATTTACTTATATAAACTTTTAATTTTCTCAACTAAAATTCACTTCCAGTGCATCTATTCAATTTATATTTAAACTCAGTGTCTTTTGACTTTGTACTTAGGAATATAAGCAAAAATTCATAAGCAAAAAGGAATACATTTTTAAAAACAAACTTAATTGGGACAAATATATTCAAATTACACTACAAATTAATAACATTAATATTTTGTTGCATAGCTGTTTTTGATAATTGCAGCCTTGAGACATGTACAGTGAGAAGGAATTAGGTTTTTGCAGCATTCTGGTTAAATTTTGGCCCATTTCTTTTGGCAGTTCATCTTAAATTTCCCAAGGTTATGAGCACCACTTTGATGGACATTTCAAATAAATTTTACATAAATTTTCAATAAGATTCAAGTCAGGAGATTGGCTAGGCCACGCATGCACCTTCACCTTCTTTTTCAGATGGCTGTAAGTTTGCGGTCATTTGCGGTGTTGTTGAAAGATCCATGGTCTCCACTTTCTTGGCCGACAAGATTAAATTGTCCTCTAATATATCCTGGAACATCACTTCTACTTATTTTGTCTTCAGTGATGTATAACGCCCCATTACCATTTGTAGAGAGGCAGCACCCTTTCACAATGCTCCTACCTCCATACTTCACTGTGAGGATGGGGTTCTTGGGATCATAGTCCTTTTTTTTATTTTGTCTGATCAGAGTACGTTGCTCTGATTTGTCTAAATGGTTGTGTGCAACTTCTGGATGTGGATCTCTGTACTTCTCTTTAAGCAGAGGAGTGTTGTGTGGGATGCAGGATGATACAGAGATGATTGTGGTGCAGTTCATTGCTCATTGTTCTCTGTGTAACTATTGTTCATGCTGCTTTCAGGTTGACCTGCAACTGTTTTTGAGTGGCTGCCACCTTATCTTTTACCTTTCTTGTCATCAGTCTGAGAGCGTGAAATCGGATGATTAATTGTTGGTTCAAAGAACATTACACTTACATATGATCGACCCAGTCATGCTGTGAGGGATGATTTAAGGTCTTTTCCTCTGCAGCTTTTTCTATTCCTGTTATTTACATATATTGTCCCTGAGAACTTTAGGAAGCTCCTTCCCCATGATTGCTACCTTTTACATGAAATCTTACCCAACAATGGCAACATCTTTTATAATGACGCCAGGTGCAATTTGCATGAGAAAATTTTTTGTGGGCATTTATATCTAGAGCTCAATATAATGTCATGTAACCTTTAAACACATGTATTTTAATAGTGTCTGAATATGTTTTCCCTGTCAATTGTTTATGCTTGTGAATAAATACTTGCTTTTTGGTTCACATTTATAAGTACAAAGTGAAAAGACAAGTTGATACATGCACTGGAAGCATATTAAATTACAAAAAGTGTCTGAATACTTGTTTTCCCTTATTGTAGTTTGTAGTGACAGTCCTATATGTACTACTAATAAAGTAAAACAGAATAAAATAGAAAATGATCCAAACTCCATGTAGCTGAGTTGTATGATCTTTTAGTATGTAATAATTATGTCATGTCATTTGAATTACGTCAGTGCTGATTCCTCTCCTATACAGGTGAAAACCTCAGTCAGTACACAAATGAGGTGACCGCTGAGATTCACCAGTCCATTGACAATTATGCGTCTCACTTGGCAAAGGCCATTGAGAGTGATGCCAAACGGCAGCTCATTGAAGGTGGATCTTTAGCTGAAAGTGTCTTGCTTGTATGCCCACCAGAGAGAGGTCTGCGTCACCGTGATGGTCTGAGGGTCCGTCTGGAGAGCATTGATGAGGGAATAGTGAACGATGAGAAGGAGGAAGATGAAATAGAAGAAATCTTTGTATAGTGTTGCTGAATGTCAGCAGTGTCAGTCTTTTGCTTGTCACTTTAGTGACATAATGGACTTTTCTGATTAAAGACTGTTTTGTTCTCAGGCGTTTTTAAGTCTTCTGTGTAACGCATTTGAGAGAGCGAAAAGCCACTCTTTCATAGATTAAATGCACAGTCATATTTGCTTTAATTCAACATAATTACTTATGTTTGGTTTAGCATATTTGAACTATGAAGAGAATATTCTGAAATTTGGTGCAGACAGTATCACTAACTGCTCCCCCACATTTAACAGTTTGCAGCTTTGCACATAGCTTTATAGACATGGAAGACTGGAAGTGTGCAAGTTTTGGATCATTTCAGTCCGACTACAAGCACTGGTCTGTTTCAGTATTGTCTTTCAATGATTGTGAATTTAACATGTTATTAGCAGTTGATATATTTTATAGTGGCCTAAATACATATGTAAATAATTCATATAGTGCTAGACTGGAACACAACAGTATAGTTAATTTGATGCTTTATGTTATTTCAAATGGGTATCATTTGAACAATAATTATTTATTACTGTAACAATGAGTACAGTGATGTCTTTTGATTGTTTATAAGACAAGCTGATATTAGTTCAGATGTTTTTAAGGGGGAGTTGTGATGTTCATCAGAGTTGTGAAGGTTTGTGTCATTTTATATTTTATCTGAAACTAAAGTTGAAAATAAGGCTAGGCATATTCTCTACATACAAGCAATGAAAAAGATGTCTCCTATATTTTTAACTGTCTAAACTGACTGGTGCACTTAAGGGAAATATAACCATTTAGCCTACAGCAATTAGCAATGCATTTAGGAGTTACAGATGTCAGTAATTGTGATGTTTTTTTTTTTTAATCATTTGAATAATTTTACATCACTGAGGTAAAAGGTTGGATATTTTCACTAATCCTCCCCTGCATACCAATGTTCATACCATTCCATCTTTTTCTTAAATAAAGACCAAAAAGATTTTGTGTAAGGTAGTGGTAAAAAGACTTTTCTGAAAAGCTTGCTTTGTTGTCATCATGTGATCAACATTGCTCTGTTTAGGGACAATAGGGATTTCATTATACTTGGCAGGCTCTTAATACTGTCTGAACGATGTGGGTACCTGATGCAGAGCTTCATGTCTGTGCCTATGTTTTCTGTGAAGTAGGACTGGAGGAAGAATTTCTCAACATAATGAGAACTCTTTACAATTCAGAACCCACTTAAAATGCACAGTAACAGTCTGACATCTCTAACAGTCTGACATCAATTTAATTCGGGAACCAGGTAGACTAAACTGCTCATATCAATGGCAAGGAGAATCAGTATGCTCTAGACCAGTTTTATATACTTCTGAATCTTTTTCAGTCAAGCTGTTCTACATCCACCAACTTCCTGTTTTAATTTAAAGGAAAGAATATATAGTATAATGCAAAAGTCTTAGGCAGCAATGAAGATTGTTTAAAACTGTTTCACTTAGCAGCAAGTGTGTTTAGCCAATAAAGATTATAGATTATAGATTTCGCAAATAAACCAAGGCAGCACAATGTTTGGTTTGGTATATATATATATATATAAGTTTTGCAAATTACTAAAAACAGTTTTATTTTGCACTCAGACTGTGCCTCCTTAATATTTTGCCTAAGGATTTTAGGATGATTAAAAAAGATAGCTCCTGTTAAAGGTTAAGCAGGTAATAGCCTACACATAAAAGAAAGAGCAGTGTCCCAGCTTATCACTGTGGTTCAATAGAATGACAAATGTTCTCATTTAAGAAAAGATTACTTGTTTTAAGTAAGATAAAAAATGTCAAATTTGAAATAATACATAAATACATTTAAGCCGTTTGTAATTCATCCTTACCTATAAAATGTATTAAATAAACCTACATTTTGAAGAATTGAATAGTTTGAAATAGTTGCCAAGTTTTCTTGCATTGTTTTTGCTCTAAAATTAGCTCAGACATACTTACTATCTCAAGCCAGAACTCTGCTAGCAGTAAAACCCATTCAAAACTTTCAAAACATTTTTGACCAGTTCAAACATGCAGGGTGAATGACAGAGAGACAGAAAGTTCAGTGGAAACCGAAGTGTTATTTTCACTTATTATAAACCAAGGTGGTGCTTCAGATCTTACAGAACACTTCAGATACAATGATTTGAATGCGTACATTCTCACATACTTATGGTGAATCACAGGACCAGCAGGAATCTCATGAGTGTAGAGGGCAAAGAAACAAGCTCACTACCTATCCTTGCACCAAGATAAATTTAGACAAGAGGTCTCGCACTTTGCAGTTACAGTAGAGGCACAGTTATAAACAACCACATAAACATAAGCCTGGTGAAGGAAGAAAATTATCCTTATGAGCTTCCATTTTTGATTCACTCCATAAATTCAGTCATTGCGAATAATGAGTAATTGTGCATATGAATATTACTTACGTGCAAGGTAGCAAGTCTTATCAAAAACATCTTCTCTTAATCAAAAACAAATACTGATTACTGCTGTTTATTTATCCAGTTGTGGTTTACAGTGTCATCAGTGCAAGTCTATATCTTTGGTCATTATTAAGGCTTCTGTTTTTATTTCTGCACCCTCTATTTCAGATATCATAACAGAATCAACTCTGCAGCTCATCAGAACACTCTAATAGAGTCACTATTGCTAGTAGAAAAGTGCCAGACAGAGTCTGTGGGGGAAAACTAAAAGTAATACCATCCAAGATTCAGGATGGATTTTGCCAGGCTACACAAGCATGTCCTTCTATCTATAAATATATTGCACTTCAAAGAACACTAATTTATGCAGCATTACCTATTGCTTAATATAATGTCTTGCATCAGTCCTCATTCTCTTGTCCTGAGCCTTCTGATGGGTCTCCTTCAAATCGATCTGCAAAAAAGGGTACCATAGTCAGCTCAAAAATCTTACTTCTTAATTAAGCATGAACTGATCTGATCTGTATCTTTAGAAGACCATGAGCCATTAAAATAACAAATATGATGTGTTACTGGAGATGCAGAGAGCAGACTGACCTGCCCTGATGTGGCTAAGGGAAGCCAGCATTCTGAGCATGAATGATGCCGGGACAGTTACAGTGTTTCTGTTCTCTTCCAACATCAGCTCATTACGCAGGATCACCTACAGATGGTGTTACCCATACATATTAACGTATTTCATATAAAATATGTCTGAACTGCTCCATTTAATGAACATGAAGTACTGTGAAAAATCTAAGACCTTCATTTATTCAATTTCCAGTTAAAACAACCATTAAGTACAAGTTATTCATTTTTAGGAGGCATTTCTGAGGAGATTAGATATAAGATAATCTACTTGCATAATGAAGGGAAAATTCTCCAAAACTAGAATTAAAAAGTATTAGAAGATGCAGAGAAAGTGTAGGAACAACCATGCAACACCTGCTGTACATCAGAACTGCTCCATATGGTAAACAATACTTAAACTTTTCATCTTAACTGGTTTTAAAATTACTTGGATCCTGAAAAGCAGAAAATACAACCAACTTCTAAGACTGAACTTTGAAAGTGTAGAACTGAAAGCAAGTCTCCCAAAAAGAATGGAAGCTGTAATAAAGGTGAAGGCTGGAAACATTTAGTACTGAAAAAATTATTTTATATATTTGGTTGTTGAGGCCTCTGTCTAACCGTTTTAAATATGTTTTCTTTTTTATGACAATAAAAAAAGAAAATCTTAATTACTGTTTAGACTGGAAAATTAATGAAGGGTGGTTTCTGACTTTTGTGCTACACTGCATGTACTGTGAAACCATTATTTTTACATACCAATTGACATTACATGTACAACCCCAAAAAAGTTGGGACGCTGTGCAAAATGGTTTGGCATCGTCTTGCTGAAATAAGCAAGTCCTTCCCTGAAAAAGACGTTGTCTGGATGGCAGAATATGTTGTCAAAACATGTTTATATCATTCAGCATTAATGGTGCCTTCACAGATGTACATGTCACCCATGCCATGTGCACTAATGCACCCCATACCATCATGAATACTGGCTTTTGGACTGTGCACTGATAATAAGCTGAGTGGTCTTTAGGCCGAAGGGTACAGCGTCCATGATTTCCAAAAAGAATTTCAAATTCGTCATACCACAGAGTTTTAACTTGCATTTGTGGATGCAGCGACAAACTGTCTTCACAAACAGTGGTTTTGAGAAGTGTTTCTGAGCCCATGCAGTGATTTCCTCTACAGATGTCTGTTTTTAACGCTTGAGGGCCCAAAGATCACAGCCAGCAAATACTGGTTTTTGGACTTGTCCCTTACATACAGAGATTTCTCCAAATTGTCTAAATCTTTTAATGTTATTATGTATTGCAGATGATGAAAAGTTCTTTGCTGTTTTATGTTAAGAAACGTTACTGTTGAATTGTTGCACTTAGCCTCTCTGGGATGCTTTTTATACCCAATCATGTTATTTTGTGTTGCCAATTTTTTTTAGCATTACATAACTTTACCAGCCTTTTGTTGCCCCCGTCCCAACTTTTTTGGAAGGTGTTGTTGGCATCAAATTCAAAATGGGCATATTTTTTCAAAAAACAATAAAATTTCTCTATGTATATCTCATATGTTGTGTTTGTACTATTGTCAATTAAATATAGGGTTTAAATGATTTGCACATTATTGCATTTTGTTTTTATTTACATTTTGCACACTGTCCCAACTTTTTTGGAAATGGGGTTGTATGTCAAACTGACTTATGAATTAGCAGTGAGTATAAGACAGAGACAACCAGGTCAATTAACACAGTGTCCCACCAGATAGTGTAGATTTTTGTTCTAACCTAGCTCCCAGTTTCCTGGTATCTGTATTCAGTGTTCTTAATGGCATGGTGTTGGGAGCTGGAATAGAGCAAAAATGTGGAGTAGCAGGTGGGCCACAACAAGATGAGAAACAGAATTAACAGTTTTCCATGAACAGTATATGGAATTACTGCTCATGCTTGAAAATGAGGTTTCTGTGCACTTACTTCCTCAGTCAGCACTCTGTCAAATGATGGAAGCTCCTCCATAGGTGACCAGATCTTTATATCATAATCAATTCCAGAAGATGCTAGCACTGAACAAAACATATGTACATATTTAAGACATCATTTTGTTCAACAATGTACCTAGTAGTAAAACCACTTAGAACTAATAATCACCATGGAGCCATCAAAGTCTCATGAAGAATATTTCAGTATTTCATGTCCCACTGTTCACAAGAACCATACAGAATCAATGCAGTGTTTTAAACAGCTCTGCTGAGCACTGTTCTCCATTAGGTGCTGGAAATACTCACATGGTTCGAATGGGTGTGGTTGTAGGCAGTTCACTACATGATTATCAGCCTCAAGTAGCATCACATGTTCTCCAGTGTGGCGGTCCCATATAAAGATGTGTCCACAGTCCGAACCACTCAGCACAAAGTTTTTTCCCCAGAAACACGCCTCTTTAATCTACTTTAGCAGACAAATGAACAGCATCTCACCAGGTTTAATGAACATCATACAGTATAAGTTATAAATGTCTTTATTGTGTTGTGCTAATGACTGCCTGTAAATTCAGTTTGGCATCATCCAATCAGATGCAGCATCTACAAAGACCTTGGCAATCCATATATTTGCCGCATGCCAGTTCTAAACACTGCTGACAGATGTAATTAAATGCTGTACGATGACAATTTCTTGAATTTGATGTAGTAGGCATTCAGACAACTATGTTGTGGACTGGTTAAGAGTCCCTGAGGACTGGGTTAAGAATGTTTGACTCTGTTTCTGATGTTGTAAACTATGACTATACCATGGTCCTGGAGTTACGGTGGCCCTTGAAAGACATTTTGGCAACAGGTCTTCTGATACCAAGTGCCTCGGTCTCCTCCATCTCTCTGCGCTCCTTTCTTCTACGGAAAATCTCCTGGATCCTGGCAGCTGCTGTACGTCTGAACAAGAGGAACAGTCATAGAGACGTTCATTAAGTTTTTAAGTATTTGAGCACATTCACAGATTAACTTACCCATTATTTCAACAGTGGCTGCCTCACAGAGCATGTAGACATATGTGGAATCCAGCTCCTTGGCAACAAAGGAAACTTCTGCTGCACATGAATTATTCAAGCAACTTTTCACAGACAAGTTTCTAAGTAGCCACACATTCCACTGTATGATGGCAGCGCGAATACTGATCAGAACGCAGTCTGTAAGGAAATTTTGAGTTTACATGTATGGTCAATGGTGATGGTAAAAGCACACATATATTTGAATGCAAAAGTTTGGTTGCCCCTGGTCAAATTACATATTTTGTGGAAAAAAAAGTACACACCCTCTACTGGGAAAAAATTTCTGCACATTTTAATGCAGTGTTTTAATGTGAACCTGTTCATTGTAGAGAAACTTGCAGACTTTCTTTAAAGTGGTGGTGATAGGAACCACCAGATTATGATGTCTACAATGCAAATCTAACCATTTTTTTGCGTTGCAAAGTAGGGCTGGGCGATAAAACGATAACGATAATTATCGCAATATAACTTTTCCTGGATAGAGCGATACGACATGTTCGATAAATGTTCGATATAATACACCATTCTCACACTTCCACGTTCAGCGAAAGCCTTGGTGGCATTTTCTACTGCTAGGAAAGCGACACTACTCTGCTGTCGCCAGGAGAGAGCATACTTCCGAGTTTTTCGACATGATTTAGAGAGGGAGAGGGCCAGGAGTAAGATGAGTTTAGCAACGGCTGAAACGCGGAGTTATACATTCCCTGTTTGAGTGGAGCAACCGACGATCTGTTCTCCTGTGACCGAGTGTGAGTGACGAAGTCAGTGGTGTAACTATACTGTCCTACAGTGAACTCACCTCTTTCCTAACATCCTAACCAGCTTTAGCAGCGTTAAATCACAATCACAATCCTCACAACTAAACTCAATTCGGACAGTCATATTTAAGTATTGGTGCGTTCGCAAGCAACGAAAGTGAAAGAAAGAAGTGAGTTCATGTAAATTACAGCCCTGATTTAAAGGAAAGTAAACTGAGGATGCTGTGAGGCATTGGAGAGCGGGAGAGCGCTAGCTTTCCAGGCTAGCTGTTTTTAGCAGCTGGCTAACTTGAAGCAGCGCTCCGTCACTGCACAACAAGGAGAATTGATGATGCTGTAGATCAAACACGACACAAAAGCACTGCTTTCAGTTTAAACATACCTAAAAGGACGACTCCGTTTGTCTGGTGTTAGATATATTAAACTACTACGATAGTATAGAGAAATCCAGTCGTCGCTAGCTGGTGTCTGAATACTGTGATGTCATTTGTAACGGGGTAGCCGAGCGCTCGTCACCAGCTAAAAAATAATCTGTTTTCTTTCTTAAATTATGACTATTACAAAATAGCCATGCTTTTCCAGCTGGTAAAAACAGCTCACCAGACACTTTCTCCCACTCTCCCATGACAGATTTGTGAACTGTTCCACTGTTTGCCGAGTGTTTGTCATGTTCAGACCATAAAGGATAGTTTAAAACAGCAATTAACCACCCAGGAGCAAAAATCAGCCTTCAAACTTGAAAGAAATAATGATTTTATATTTATCGCGATATGTATCGATATCGAATGATATGAATTTTGTTTATCGTGATAACATTTTTGGCCATATCGCCCAGCTCTAATGCAAAGTAGGAAGTGAATCTACATGTGTCTTCTGAATTTTCATATATATATATGTATGTGTATGTATATATATATATATATATATATATATATATATATGTATGTTAATAATGGTTAAAAAAGGGTAACGTTTTCTATGAGTACTATTTTGCCCATGAATGGATTTAGGACATTTTATATGAAACTTTTTCTCAAAACGACTGTAAAACATGTCTCAGGCACAAGGCAGCATATTCCTAACCATTTCCTGTAATAACTTTCAGTAGAAGAGCTTGTACAGGCATTTCAACTCTCCAGATGTCTGGTTCCTATCACCACCTCTGACTTGGTACATTTCTCTAGAATGGACCCTTTCACATCACACCACTCAGAATGACTTTATTTACATCTTAATGATTTAATTATGTAGAATTTTAGAAAATGGAAGGAATGCCCTTTTAAGTATAAAGGCGCCCTAAAGGGTTCCTTGGTGCTAAAAGAATACCATAGAAGAACTTTTAAACGAATGGTATTTAAAAAACTTTGTTGTAAATGAGATGTGTGTGATTTTTTTAATGTTTAAATGTAAAGGTTCTATACCAAAGGTTTTTCCTAGAGCCACATACCTGAGCTAAAAAATGTGTTAGCCCTCATTTTCTAAATGTATTTATCGTCTTTTTCTCACACACTTGCTTTCTCTTTCCCTCTCTCTTCTGCTGTGTGGCCCTTGGCTCTCCAGAACACTCTGTGGCAGCTAAGACGGGGGGTTGCTTTCCAGGAAGGGCATGGGTGACACTGGAAAAAGGGGATCAGAAGTCAACGCGTGACCTGCAGGCTGGTGATCGTGTCCTGGCATCGACAGAGAGTGGCAATCTCATCTACAGTGAGGTCCTCGCCTTCCTGGACCGTGACCCAGCGATTAAGAAGCACTTCTATGTGATCAGTACACACAATGGGGCCACTCTCTCCATGACTGCAGCACATTTGCTCTTTGTTTGGGACGGAAATTGCACTGGTGGGGCCCTGCCAGCAGAAGGGGCTATGCGTACAATATTTGCCAGTGATGCACACCCAAGGCAGTGGGCTGATTGTGGAGGAAGGGGCTGAGGGGCTTCTAAAGGGCTGGCTTTTGCACATCACCAGACTGTGTGTGTGGGAGGACCGTAGTGCATATGCCCCACTCACTGCCCAGGGAAGCCTGCTTGTCAATGGGGCAATGACTTCACGCTACGCTGCAGTAGAAAAACATCAGCTTGCTCACTGGGCTTTTGGCCCACTCTGCATGTTTTACAGCAGGATAAATAATACCACTAAAAAGCAGGTATTATTTGAATAGTGGATCATTCTCAGCACTGCAATGACACTGACATGGTAGTGTGTGTTGCGCTGGTATGAGTGAATCAGACACAGCTTTGCTGCTGGAGGAAGCACCTTGGTGTCACTGCTGGACTAAGAATAGTCCACCAACCAAAAATATCCATCCAACAGCATCCCGTGGGCAGCATACTGTGTCCACTGAAGAAGGACTAGAGGATGACCAACACACACTGTGCAGCAACAGATGAGCTATTGCCTCTGACTTGACATCTACAAGGTGGACCAATAAATTATGCGTGTCTAATAGAAAGGACAGTGAGCAAGCTTAGAAACTCCAGCAGCGCTGCTGATCCACTTATACCAGTGCAACACACGCACTAACAGGTGAACATTATGTCAGTGTCACTGCAGTGCTGAGAATGAACCACCACCCAAATAATACCTGCTCTGTGGAAGTCCTGTAGGGGTCCTGACTACTGAAGAACAGGGTGAAATGGGGCAAACAAAGGTATGCTGAGAAACAGATAGACTACAGTCTGTAACTGCAGAACTACAAAGTGCACCTATATGGTAAATGGATTTGCTACAATGGACAGAGTGTAGATACAAGGTAGGTGTAGTTAATAAATTAGCCGGTGGGTGTACATCAGTAACTACTAAGCAGTAAACAAACAAACAAACAAATAAAGATGGCATTGATAACGTATAAATCAGGAGAAATACATTTAGAGAAAAAAAACTGTCTAACCAAGCTTTTGTCCAGTAGGTGGTGCTAAAGAACAAAACACACACACACACACACACACACAAACAAAAACATAAATAATCATTTTAGGGATGGTAAGCAAGTTATATATCAGAATAGCAGTATTTACCTGAGAACCCGTTCACCTATAGCTGATCCCCTAAAGCTAAACCTGTATGATGAAGGAAAAAAGCAAAATATAATACAGACAGAAGCCAATCATTTTCACCATCAATACACTGTTGTGGAATGCTTTAATTATATATGTTGGGCGTGTATACCTTTCAGTTGGACCTCTCAGTGTGTGTACAGAGGAGGTGCGTACTGCCTCATCATCGCTGTCATCTGAGCCCATTGCTTGCACTGCTGCCTGACTGTGTCTACTCAACTCTGCATGAGACTGCCTCTCAGCCTCTACACCGTGTTCATTGAGCCCTTCCATCTCTGTCCCAGTGTGCACACACAAACACACACACACACATATACCAAGCATAAGTCATAATCATGCCTGATATATTCTTAATAGCAGCCACATGTGGCCTAACATTAACATAAGAACAAGTAGCTAGCTAAGTATTAGCCTTCACATTATATAGCCATGTTTGTTTGTTTTGTTTTTTTAGCAAAGTTTCAATCTAAAGATGTTTTAATTGTTCAAAAATGTTTGTTAATGTCAGTTATAGAAACAGAAATTGTCATTTTATCAATGTTGACAAATTTTTTTTCAGCTCAACTTTCGTGGAAAAATTGTTTGTCACTACCTGAAATGTAGTGAAAACCTACATTGAAAACATTTTTCGCGAAAAATAACATTTACACATAAATTTAGTGTCATGTGACAGATTCCCTCACGTGTCAAAACAGCAAACAGCAGCATGTCATTACAAGTTATCATTTTCCAGTACTATGTCAATATTTCAAATAAACAAGTCACTATTTCGTTATTTTCTCAAAATAACAGTGATGATCTATAATTTATATCAGTATACCATAATACTGACATACAATTTCCTGTTTGAGTGATATATTTAGTGACATATTTAATAGACAGGGACCATTTAATTTTGTGCACTTTACTTAAAGTATGCAGTCCTTTATAAAAAATAAGCAAACTCAGGAAACATTTTATTAAGTTTACTAATGTTAAACTGTATCACCTGATAGCATGATACTGTGGTATGTTTGAAAATACCATGATATTGAATATATGAATTCAATATTTAAATATTATTAGCTAGTAAGTCAAAATGCAGTTCAAATGCAACGAGTCAACCTGAAATCTGACCCATGTTCGGATATCTGCACCAGGTTTAACACTCCAACATCAGAGAACGGACCTTTCATTTTGCTCAATACATTAACTTTTTATAATTTCAGAGCCTTTACGTTTTGTTTCAACTCCTCCATATTCTCAAGTTACGAAACCATCAGTCATGTGTGGGTAGACGGATGACGACAAACCGGATATTCCATTATTTACCATAAAGCCGCAAAGCTCCGCAGACCGCAGTGGTGAGCGGAATGCTCCATCAAGAGTTCAATTCTCAAGAGTTCAAGTACTATGGAATAAACTGGATGTTAATTTTTTGGGAGCCATGGATGCCAAACGTCCCATTGTTGAATTCCAGACGAACACAGTTTTGTACAACAAAAATAAAAGAGTACAGAGCATCCTCTGCCTTTTCCCACCTTAAATAAACAATTTCCTCTCCAACAAACCAAACAAACCTCTCCTCTGATAATCATATAATGCTGTCAACATGCCAACATTTGCATGGCTTCATGTTTTTTTGTTTTTTAAACTCAAACGTGTGAACTCAACAGCACTAATGGCTGCAGCACATTTGTTTAGCTGCCGCAGTGCAGACCAAGCGCTGTTACTCACAGTGATGAAGTCAGTCACGCAGGTCTTGGTGTAAGAAGCAGCAGTGGTGTGTTTTACCTCTTTAATTTGGCTTGTTAATTCATCTTCTCCAGTGTTTGAATGTCAAAACATCTTCCACAGCACACACTTCACGGATGTTACGTCTTAGCTAGCCAAGATTCATATTAACAACGTTATTAAAGCTGGTCCACGTGCAGATACATTAGTCTCGGTCTTGATGCTTTTTGCAATCTAAACTCTTCAAATGTGATGAGATGACGAACTGCATGGGGGAAAAGTCCAGAAAATTCTAGGATTTTTCCAGCACATATTATTTTCCATGACTTTTCTAGGCCTCATACATTGATTCATTTTCTAAGATGTTTATCCTCCTGGGTCGTGGGGGTGGTGCTGGAGCTGATCTCAGCACTCGTTGGGCAGAAGGCAGGAAACACCCTGGACAGGTCACCAGTCCATTACAGGGCAGACACACAGACATATACATTCACACACACACTCACACCTAGGGGCAATTTAGTGTCTCCAATTGGCCTGACTGCATGTCTTTGGACAGTGACTGTGTGAACCCTGGCAGTAAAAATAAAAAGAAGAAAAAACTATTATAGAAAAAAATAGAAAAAAACTATTTCCTTATCAGTAGATTATGGAAAAGTCAGGGAAGCCACATACTGTGACATAAATGCAAGAGATGGAAACATCTCAAAAACTTTTTTTAAACCAAAACCTGAACTTATGACAATAGTTTTTTTTTTTTTATTGGGAAATGTCATCACTACGTAAAGTAATTTTATCACAAAGTAAGCTTGACAGAAACATGCTCCTAGGCAGCAAAAATTGGAAGCAATGCTTTCATTTTATTGCTTGCGATTTGCATAGAAAGTCAAAAGAAGCCTAACTTGTTAACTCAGGGGAGTCAAACTGGGTTCCTTCAGGGCCACAGCACTGCAGACTTCAGAATTCATCTTAATTAAGTACACCCAAGTCAGTTCAATGTGTGTGAAATTTGGCTGATATCTTCTTTTGGGATCACACACCTATTATATAGGTGTTCCCCAATGATAGCTATTTATGGTGTGATTTGTAGATGGTCGCTAAACTATCAAAGTAATTATACAGAAATTAAGTCTACAGAAATTAACAAAAAAACTATTCCAGCCAAAGCAAAGTGGTAGCTGACTGTTTTGGTTTCAAACAATGATAATTTGCACATTAACCTTTTTGCCATCTGTTATTAAAGAAAAAAAATCTGAATATGTGAAAATGAAACTCTCTTTTCATGTTTTGGTAAAGTTAGCTTGGTTCTGGTGGGTCCATAAAAATTAAATTCTGCATCTATGTGTTGGCTGAATAATGGCATAAAATGCTGCTGTACTGTGTTTAGGGGAAAGGAAGAGTTCTACCTTGGAATTCTCTGTTGGCAGTAGACCCCACCCATTCCCAAAATTAAAAACTCAGCAAATCTTACAATTCACGTGAATAGCATATCCATCGCTTAAAAATGGCGATGATAGTTTGCATATATGGTAGCAGAAATAAAATACTGTATCTCGATCAGACAGTACCCAAGATTTTGCAATTAGTATAAGACACAAAAAAGTGGTGCCATCTCTAATTCCTTAGTTACTGTGTCAGGTAATGTGCTGTTTTGAGACTTTACCTGGCTGCTTCGGCTCTGTGCTTTGTGCAGCCCTGCTGCTCTCTCCTTCATCGGACCTCCTGCTGCTATGGGATCTACAGCATGATCCTGTTTCACTCCTGCTTAGACCACAAACACACATGCATAAAAACAGCTGACAGACGCACCAACATGTGCAGATCTGACAATCAGCTTCACTTACCACTGGTGTGTGAAGTCTAGCTTGATAGTGCTGGTGGTGGTACCCTCTGAACTGTACTGCAGACTGATAACTGGCTCTGCTGAGGCTGCAAGAGCACCTGTGGAGCCTTGCAGTAATACAGAATTTGTTTTATTTTTTTTCCACCATTCAAAAATGCTTACAAATGTAACAATCTATAACTATAATATATTTTATAGTTACACTATAGTCTATAATAATTGCTTTTGCATTTGTTTATAAAAAAAAGCTTTTATTTGCTACTGAAGACCTCTGAATAGAGCCATTAATCCCTGTTTTCTAATTCATAGTGCTGTGCTACACTTCTATTTAACATGATTGCTTAACTGTGCAGGTTTAGAATGAAAGCTAGGAAGATGTCTTGCTACATATATCCACCTCTTAAACCTACCGCAGTTTAGCTTCACCCATTTACAATGAAGTTATAAAGTGTGTTTCAGCTCGGACTGTTTTTTTGAATAAGGCACAAAACAGGGCAGTCAATCAGAATAGAGGTTTTTATATATGTCAATCTTAAAGGCACAGTAACAAAACCAGCCAGTTAAATTCTAAGGCAAAATAAATAAAATATAAGAAATACGTAGGATGCGGGCCCTTCCTCAAGTAATCATGAAAAATCAGTAGGCGAAACGTCAGTATGTGTACAGTATGTGTAAACCTATTTTTCTGGGCAGTAAGTGTGGTTGTGCTTGTAAAGTACTACATAACATTAGAATAATGCTGGTAATTAAGCATGCTAGCAAACTTACAGCTGACCCCTCTCATCCTGGGCAACACTTTTTTTTCCAGCCACTCCCCTCTGGTAAAAGATTCAGGGCCATTAAAACCAGCACAACCAGACATGCCAAAAGCTTCTTCCCACACATCTCTTTAAGTCCTTTCACGTTGTCTCTTTATTATTCTTTGTATTTTTTATTCTATTTATTGCGTTTTTATTTTATTTGTCCCATGGTTGAATATCTGTTAACAGTCTGTGTGCTTGTCTAGTCTGTTCAGTATGTTACATGTCAAACGTGTGCACTCACCAAGATAAACTCCTTTTATGTTTGACATAAAAGGAAGTGATTCAGATTCTGATAATACCGTAAAAAGAAACAAGAATTCCTTATTTTTCAGAGAAGGCATTGAAATCTTGTGAGATAATTAAAAGCTCTAGTTCCTCTTAACCTGAATGCACTGCAGCCACTGGATCTGTTAAACTCCATCACCAGCACAACTGATTGATTGATTAGCTGAATCAGGGACTGGACAATAACCACAGAAACTGGGCATCCTTTTGGGGCATGTTTGGAAATGATTAAGCTAACACTAAAACTACAATTTATTGTATTATTACTTATTGCATTGATTCTAAAATTTGTGTTTTCCCAAATAAATAAAGGCTTATTACCCAGATAAAAAGCTTTAAATTGAATTGATGACCTAAGACCTATGAATTAGTCTGAAGATAAAGACCAGAATAAAACCTGATGTTTATGCTTTGGAAGTAAAGAAAATCTGAGCACTGTTAAAAGTATGGCTAAATAGAAAACATTGTTAGTGGAACAATATTCTCTATATGGCAAAGGGCACAGAAGCTTGTCTATATAACATTTTAGCCATTAAAAACACTTTCAAATCTTGCCCTGCCATTTAACATGGCACTGCTTTTCATATAATTATCTCCAAACCAAAACTAGATCCGGTAAATCACTGCAAATTGTCCTATACATGAGAAATGAAGTAGACTTCACTCACCATGATACTGTGCACTATGAGATGTGGAGGAGGACCGGGGTGAGGAGGTCCCTGTAGTTGAGTTAGAGGCTGGGAAAGGTATGTTCTCTGCATCGGCTTGTGTAGGACTCTCACCACCGGACCCTGTCTGATCTCCTGCAGAAGACATGCTAGTACTGGCTGACTGAGTGATGTTTCCTAAAAAGAAAAACAGTATAACAATCTAACATGTCCACAAGGTATGCACTGCAGCTGTAAAAACCTCGTAAATTCAGGTCTTAGCTTTAGCAGAAGCCACAGTGGAAAAGAAAAGTGTCAAATGTGGGATCATGCTTGAAAGTGTGAAAACACTCACCACTTGAGCGTGAACGTAAGTGGGCCCTGTTATTCTGAGCCTGACTGGCTTCCTCAAACCAGCGAGATAACATCCCTGACATTCTCTGCATCAGTGACATGTTAGAACTGGACTCTCCTAAAAGAAGCAGAAGCACATTAAACAATCCCAAAACCCATAAAATGTAGATTATTTAATATAAAATGCTCAACATACATCTGTTTAAATTTAGTGCTAGCACACTCGATCTGAATTCTAAAAAAATGGAAAACTGCCATGTATTACTAAGTTTATAAGCCCTTTATTTATTTGTAAATACTTTATACAATTTTTATACTCACCAATTAAGCTTCAGTAAAGGATTAAAAAAATGTATCTATGGCAATTTAAAGGAGAATTACAACACTTAAAAAAAATTCCACATAATTTATTCGTTGAGATGTAAACGAAGTCATTCAGAGTGGTTTAATGTGACACGGTTCATTATTGAGAAACTTGTTGATCTGGATTTTTTTACAGTAGTGGTGATACAAATGAGGGATTGTGATGTCAACAATGCAAAATATGCATTTTATTTACTGTCCAAAATGACCAGTAAACCTAAACATGATTTCTGAGTTTTTAAATCTTAAATCTCAAAAACTATCATAAAACAATGTCTTAGGAATCAGGCAGTGTATTTGTAGCCGTTTAACTTTCTGTGAGGGATCTAAGCTTAAAAGCTTTAAGCCACCACATTGAGCAATTCTGACTTGCTAAGTTTCTCTAGAACGGAGCATTTCACAACAAACCACTCAGAATGTCTTTGTTCACATCTTTTAACAACCATTTAATTACAGAGAAAGACTGAAAAATTTGGTGGAATTTCTCTTTAACTCTGGTTGTCTAGAAATCCAATCTGAGTATTATGGTATTTTCCTGTGTGTGTGCATGTCTGTGTTATTTTAGTCTCCTCTTACCAGTTCGTTCTCTCTCACTTTCAGGACGGGCCCTGGGACCAGTATCTGACCAATCACCTCTCAGTCGCAAGCGCTTCACGGGTGGTTGCTGCAGTTGTAAGTGACATCATCAAGATTCTGTTAAACATCACACAGCTAACAAAAATAGCCCTACTGCCAGCCCTCCCTCTCAGCTTACTTTCTACTGGCTTTCTCAGCTGGGTTTGCACCTGGCACTGTAAACTCACCAGCACAAGATCAATGCTCAATTACACACTCATAGTCTTTCTGGAACACTCCATCTGCTAGCCCTGTATTCAGCAAATTAAGAAAAAAGTCTTATGTAAGATTTGTGTCCCATTAAAATGTAAATAATAACCCTACATCTAGACTGTTCTTTTACTATTACATGAAGTTATTAAACAGCAGAGGTAAGTGATTGAGGCAGAGGTAAGTGACTGAGACCCAGTTTGACAAAATTAAGTGTTAATATAAATTCTTAATAGTGATACAGTCTTTGTTCTAGGACATATGTCACATACAGTGGTGCCTGGTAAATAAGGCAAGGCTAAGTAAAAGTACTCCTGCCGAGACAGTTACTGCCACTTCTGTTTTATTTCTGTCTACATTCACTAGCTGCCTGTATTGGAGGCTGTTTTGGGAAAGGCATTTAAGCCTGCCCACTCAGACACACAGCCTGCTGGGAAAACAATATCATGTGCCACTTGGACATTTTGTTCCACAGCAAAATGTGAACTGGTCCCTGTTAGCGTTGGTGAATGCTAGCTTAGAACCAACAATATGTGATGATGCAACGGTGTTACGACAGTGTCGTTCTCAAGTTAATTGTGATTCAGCAAGGACCTTTTTTAATGTTGGTAAATAAAGCACACATGACAGCCTGGTTATAATGATCTCTGCTGACCTTCAATCATTTTGACAGACAGACAGACAGACAGACAGACAGACAATTTTGTACTAGGCAACAATTTATCCAACTGGATTCAGGGGAGCTAAAACTCTGTATTCAAGCTAGGCTTTTGTATCTCTAGATATGCCTCTAGCTAAACTAATTCTCTCCTTTAACCTCACCTCCTGTCTCCTGTTTTCAGATAGGCCTTTTAACTTGGAGGCCTGGTCATCTTTGGGGTCAAACAGATAGACGTAATCTGAGGAGTAGCTGGCAAGCACTTCTTGCCCATCGGCACTGTAACATAATGAGGTCACGCGGCACGACCTACCAGTCAGGTGAGGAGGCACAAAGCGTAGGCAGATACCTGTAGTTCCTGCAGTGGAAAAGCCCCCTGGTTAACATGAAAGAAAGAAAAGAGAACACTGACTCTCTAGAACATAGTTCTATAAAATAGTAAAGTCAAAGATTTTGTGTTCTGGTAAGATACATGTGAGGATTAAGCGCATGTACAGTTATATGCAAAAGTTCGTTCACATTACACAATTTGTTGATTTTCTAAACGAGAATATATTGGGTTTTACAAATTAGGAAAAAAAAACTATAACACAGGGCACATTTTATGTTCTTTTTTTACCCAATATGTTAAATTCAGCAAATAAACAGTAATTTTTGTTGAATTAAAAAAAAAAAATGTTTTACTGTTTTTCTGGTAGATTTTGTCCACTCTAACGCTCGGTTATATTTTTGCCATATCACACACCCTTAGCTTCAGGAAGACAATTTCTGCTCTCCAAACCAAGTCATCCTCTATTCCTCAAACACCTTTAGTCGCACCTGTAGTGATGGTCCCCAGCATCCTCCTATCGTATATGCGTACTGAGCTGTCAGAGCAGCCCAAAGCAAGGTAACAGGGCTCAACAGGGGAGACAGTCATGGAGCTGACCGCCCTGCGACATTTTATAAGAACATCCTGACAACAGGACAACAATAAATACCATTAAACAGAACAACGACAATACTGAACCAGCAAACAGACGTCATACATGCAAAGCAAAACATAATTTGTTCTTTGTTTAAAATGCATTCCATACATCTCCGCATCTACTTTGGCTGCATTCATTTTTTAATCTGGTGTCGAACCAGCAGACGGTTCCATCCTCTCCACAAGACAGAAAAGTGTGTGGGTCATTGGGCACTGTAAGAATCTGTAAGAAATCCAAAAATCAGTGTCGGATCACTAACAGTATGCCACATCAGAGAGCATCCTTCATTTATTTAATTCCTAGTGAAAATAGCCGTTAAGTACAAGTTACTCTGTTTTCTATGGAGAACAGACATACAATAATCCACTTGCAAAAGCAAGGGGAAAGACTAAAGAAGATAAACGAAAACCAAACTGAGACAAAGTGACTCTAAACAACCATGCAAGAACTAGTAGGCCACCAAAACCCTTCAAAGCAACACTAACATTCACACAGGCGGCTACCCAAACACACCTTTGTGATCTTGCGAATTTCTTTTGCATGTAAATCTGCAATTTGCATTCTGAAGAGCTTAGATAAAAAAATGACCCACTCCCACTAGGAAAAGTCAAAGGATACTCTTAAATAACTTCAAAGGATAAGTGAACAAACGAGGAGCTTCCGAACATAAACGTTTCCACATGTTTTTTTTGTCCATCCTTCCACTGTGAGCAGATAACCCAATGCTATGGGTCTTCAAGGATGTGTAGTTGTCAAGAAGTTATTATGGAGAAAAGGAAACAGATAAAAAGAAAAAAATTTGCAAATCAAAAAGAAGCTGTGGGTGTTCTCAGAATACTAGACTGTCCACTCCAGAGCCCAAACTTTAACATCACTAAAAGCTTTTGGGATGACTTGAATCACAAGTCAAGATGAAAATACAACCAACTTCTAAGACTGAACTTTGGAGTTGTGGAAAAATATCCATGCAGATTTCCTTGACAAACTGATAGCAAGTCTTCTGAAAAGAATGGAAGCTGTAATGAAGGCAAAGGGTGGACATGCTAAATATAATGATATTAATTTTAGTTGTTAAGGCCTCTGTGTAATTTACTGTTAAATATATGTTTTTGTTTTTTTCTGTGATGCTGACAAATGAATTACTTGTACTTAATAGCTGTTTTGACTGGAAATTAAATAAAGGGTCTCTAACTCATGCACAGTCCTGTACATGAAAAAAAATATTGTTCATTCACTATAATAGACACTACTGACAACAGCTTACTAAGCCCATGTGATACACCTGTCAGAGTGACAGTTATCTCCAGAATTCAAAGATGCCATGTAATCCTCCAGTGGATCCTTAAGGAGTTAGCTGAAATGATTCTTTTGAGCTGCTGTACCTCATAAACAGTGCCATAGTGGCAGGTAAACTTGTGTTGCGTGATGTCAGGGCTCCTGCTGATGTTGGTATAATGGATGTGTCCATCTCCTGCTGATGAAACAATCCAGTGATCACAAGACGCTGGCATGAATTTGGCACTGTAGATGTTGGCTCGATGATGAGAGGGGACATTAACTAGAACCTAGCGAAGACAGAAAGCATAGTCTGGCAGAATCAAACCATGAAAGGGGAACTTTTTACAGTTTTTTACAACTTTTCTTTATACCTTCCTAGTAAAAGGGTCTGTGATGACAAGGTTGGTGTCATCTGATCCTGATAGGAGGTATTCACCAGTATCATTCCAGCATATTGTGTTTACCTGGCAGAAAGGGGAAAAAACAGTATGTATACCTCTTTGTAAAGCTATAGGCTATAATGACAGAGTTCATTATGGGCCACTTACACAGCCATCATGGACAGGTAGGGCAGCTTCAAGTTTTAGTCTCTGGACAAACTCTCGTGTGCCTGTAGCAATTGTACAATCAATCAATCAATCAATCAACAAATATTGGCAACATATAATAATAAGAACAGCTAGAGATTAGGAAAAATATAGTAAACAGTAATAGTGGGCAATATAGTGATATGTATCGTCACTGTGACAAATTACATCACATTACAACACAACATGCTTTTTTTCTCATTACACAGTGGATATAATTACTAGGTAAAGAACACTGAGCCACTGCATGTATAATTACAAAGACAAATTAGGCCTGATTAATTAAGTCAGAGAAGTGTAAAACACTGAAAAAAAGTTTTAGTACATTTGTACATGTACTTTTTCCTAGTCTTTTTAAAGACGTGGCTTGCAAGTTCGTTTCTCTCTGTTCCAATTTATCGAACATCAGCAAAAGTAAACATAAGTGATGCAACGCGTGTATCGAAAAAATATCTTGAAGTAGCTATATTGGACACTTCTACGTAGCTAGTTTTGGAAATACTGGAAATAGCTTTTATTTCGGAGATAGAAACGGGACACTTGAGTTCAACTCCTAATTCGTTCTTTTTTCACTATACCACCGTCCAAAGGAGGCTGAGAATATACTAACTACATTTCTGCGTTTTCCTACCTAAATAATCCGCCCGCACAAAATTGCTTCTCTGATCCAAGCCGAGTGAGCGTTTCCTTAAATCCCAAATCAGTTTGCTAGAGCGAGGCATGATTCAACCACCGCCGTCCTGCGGGAGTGATTCAGCTTATCGCTACTCTTGTTGCTTTACAGGTTGTGCAAGACTCCGTAGTTCGTGTGAAACTTCAGTGGACTGTCGTCCTGTGAGCGTTGAGAAAGTTTGTGCTGAACGCCACACTTATGCACTACTCAGAGGCCGGTGAATGAACAGCATACAGGCCCATCCGTGTGCATTGACTATCAGTGTAGCACATGAGGGTAAATTGTCTCGGGTGGAAACACGGGAGCTGTGTGTATGTGTCCGCACTAACCCGTTCGGATCTGTTCGATCTCAGAAATTCTGGAGTCGACACTGATTCTGAGTGATGGGAACCGATGGAGTCGATTTGCACACAATCACTTTCTTGATTCTTGAGTCCGAAACATAAGGAAGGATATAAAAAGTACAATATTAATTAAGTGCATAATACACTCTGGGTAGGCACGAGAGTCGGGAGGATTCCAAGCGGGCCGGTTTCTGTGAGCCAAAGTAAAAAATCACGTATATAAGCAGGAACGTTCAGACAAACCATAAATGATGTTTTGCACATCTGTAGTAATTCAGAAGTTAAACCAGTAGCCCCCCTCAAGTGGGAGAGCCCCGGTTTCCTGATTGAGTCTCGTATAATGAACAAAGATTCTTGTTTCTTGTTCCACCTTAAATGTTGTAGCAGTTACATTCAGACTTTTGTATGAGCTAAAGCAATGGGCGCTGTCGTGTAACTGCTGCAGGATTTAAACTCAGAGTGAATCGGAAATCTTTAGAGCGCATTTTTCTTCCTTGACGTGACCGATTCGAAACAGAATTAGGCTGGGAAATAATTGTGGGTTAGACCTGACTTTATTCTTAGACTGGAATGTGAAAAGTTTTTCTTGTTGTTTCTGAAACATAAGTCATATTTGTTGAAAGTTTGATTTTAATGTGTGTGTTGTGTTTTTACTTTTTAAGACGTCGACTATGGCAGCATATTCTGGACTTTTTCAAATTCAAATGCACATCTGAAAATTTAAATGTAATTCAAATGCAAATTTGAAAATGTTAATTCAGTTGTGCATTTAAAATTGCATTTCCAATGTGAGTACGCATTAGACATGAAGACATAATTCAAATTCAAATGTGCATTTGCATTTCTGTGCATAATGGCTGTTAACGTTAATATGGAAATGCAAAGTGCTTTTGGCATTTCATTTTCTTTGCCTGACTCTTGACATTAAAAATGGAAAAACATTTGCCATTTCACTTCAGCTCTGCCAAAATGAAAATGCAATTGCAATCCTGTTTGCAACTGCATTTTCACTGTCAATCAGGCTGGGTGGGAAGGGCTTTTTAGTGTGGGGCATGTTTTAAGAGGAAGTGAGTCTAAACTTTGGCAGTACTGGAGACTTAGATGCTTGTTTAAAATACAGAGCAGGCATTAGCAACCACTGAGTGACGTTTTAACACTCGCTAACCAGGCCGCGGAAAATTCTGTCCGAAGTGATTTTCGAGTAAAAGTGATGCTTGAATGACTAGAAGAGCTCGTGGCAGCACACACACCAGTGTTAGTGGCACTGTGACCACTATTCTGGCGATTTGTGGTACTTTGTCGAATTGTTCTATCGCAGAGGAAACTGAAGGCAGCTTATCATTTAAATTTTCCCGTTCCACCTTAAATGGTGAAGCAGTTACATTACGGCGCCTGAGGGGCCAGGATATAACTGCTGCACCATTTATGATACATTCGAAAAATTTGATTAAGAAGCTGACGTCAGCTTCGTCATAGCTGATATTTACAGGGAGGATGTTTTCAGGCACAGGACTGTTGGAGGACCTAGATGGCCAATGATGTAAATCCTTATTAAGGAGGTGCAGGGCCACTGTGGATTAGTGCAGTATTTCCCAACCCTGGTCCCACAGAATAGGGTGATGCAACCAAACGTCAGATGCCGTTTAGAGACTGGCGAAAGCCCACATGAGTTCCTGATTTATGAATACGCTGGTTCATGCTAGTCTGGTGCTGGTTTAGTTGGTCACCCAGCGGCTTGACCAGCATACCGGCATCCAAAGCACAATACATTCTGGTTTCGGTGTTGATGAGCCTAGCAGCTTCCACTGCTGCTGACCAGCATACCAGTGTCCACAACACAACACATGCTGGTTTTGCCTGTGACCATCCATTCTGGTTTTTATATCAGTGCTGACTTATCTAGCATTAGTGTGTAGCATATTCACTGTCATGATTATGTCACAGTTCAGATACAATACTTTTGCTAGTTTTTATCACTAGTTATCTCAGTGTATAATATGAGTAATAAATAAGAGTAAGAAATGAAGAAGATGAAAATGCACAGATTTAAAAACAGTGTATAGCAAGAGAAATCTAGTTAGAGTTTGGGGTAGGCTGGTTTGCATCACGTAAGTCAAGTCCCACACTGACCCTGCACTATGATTAATGGTATGAATGAGAAGAGATCTTCACACAGTAACTACATGTGCGACCACTTCAGTTGCTCTTCATGGACACGAAGTCAGAACTATCTGATCTTAGCAAGGCAGTTTGGAGAGCTAATACTAGCCAAATGAGCTAGTCATTGGGGCCTAGCTAAACTGATTTTCCTCTTTCATCTAGATGTTTCAGCACTGCTGAACCTGACTGTAAGCCATTTTTTTATTACAAAGTGTAGATTTTATTTTATTTTATGCTTTCTCCAAAGTTAAGTTCAGCCAGTGGAGTGATGCATGTGTTGTGGAAGGATGCGTTTTTCAGCCAGGCTGTCTAGACAGTGACAGCAGAATATCTGTGAGGTAGTGGGAGGTAGTGTGCGACTCTTTTTGGGCTCAACTCCCAGCCCTATAGTGAGCTTGACTTTTCTCAAGTTTTAGCCACTGGCATAAAGTGCAGAAACTACACAGATAAAAGAAATGAATATGCTGGTATGTAATAAAGTATGGTTGGCAGTTTTGGCAAATCACATTTAGTACAATGATGCTACTTTCCTTTGGAAATATAACACACATGGTATTTTTGTACCACTCGCACAGCAGAAATGTTATTGGACCAGGGAAGAAAGCATTGAAGCTCCATATAAAAGTACATCTGCCCCCTCTTCTGGCTCCTGTTACGTCACACACTTTTTTCTAAATACATAAAGGCATGTAAGTGGGCATACCCACCAGGCAACAACTAAAATATATGCACGAAGTCTTTGATATCCTTCTCTGTCTTACACTGTGTGGGAGGGGTAGAGTTCTCTATTTCTTTCACATAAAGTTGAAATTAGTCAACAGTGCCTTTACCTTGTTGTGAGATGCACCTTAGTCTGAAAAGCAGGGGATGAGTCATAGCATAGAATTCAGTTGTGTAAGACCATCACCATTATAGTCCAGCATACTGCAATGTGACTCATAAAAGACAGCAGACTCTTATTCACATAAATGACCCCGTCTCCTCCTCAGGCACAGACATAAGCCCACGGCAGAGTAGAGAGCAGCAACATGGTATACATATTAGACCAACCTTCACATGAACTTTAGCAACTTTCTGTAAAATTGACATAGAAACTATATCATCTGTTAGCAGTAGCAGCTTCATCCTCACACACACAAAAAATAAATATTACAATGCCTCTCTGAGGCTAGGCTCATTATCCACTTGAAAAGGAATTCCACCATTTTTTCAAAATGTCTGCATAAGTGAATCATTAAGATATAATCAAAGTCATTCAGAGTGGTTTCATGTAATATGCTCCAGCAGAATATCTGCTGTAGTGTGAGGCAGTACCTCACAGATATTCTGCTGGCGCATGTTACATATATCCATTCTAGAGAAACTTATGAAATCAAAATGATCACAGCAGTGCTGATAGGAACCAGACATCTGAAGCATTTAATGCCACTTAAAGCTAAAATAGTACAAAAATTGTATTTTTGTTTTGAAAAATATATGCCCATTTTAAATTTGACGTCAGCAACATGTTTCAGAAAAGTTGGGACAAGGGCATGTTTACCACTGTGTTGCATCACCTCTTCTTTCAACAACACTCTGTAAGTGTGTGAGATCTGAAGACACCAATTGCTGTCATTTTGAAAGTGAAATGTTTTCCCGTTTTGCTTTAAAACCTGTATATATCATTCAGCATTAATGGTGCCTTCACAGTTGTGCAAATCACCCATACCATGTGCACTAATCCATCTCTATACCATCAGAGATGCTGGCTTTTGAACTGTGCACTGATAACAAGTTGGATGGTCCTTCTCACCTTTAGCCCAGAAGACGTGAGGCCATGATTTCCAAAAAAAAAAAAGGTCAAATTTTGATTCATCAGACCACAGGACACTTTTCTACTTCGCCCCAGTCGATCTTAAATGAGCTGAGACCCAGAGAAAGCAGTGGCGTTTCTGGATCCTGTTTGTAGATGGTTTCTTCATGGTAAAGATTAACTTGCATTTGTAGATGCAGCAACAAACTCTCTTCAAAGACAATGTATTTTGAAAATGTTTCCGAGCCCTTGCACTACAGAATCATGTCTGTTTCTAATGCAGTGCTACCCGAGGGCCCAAGGATCAGGGCCATCCAATACTGTTTTTTCAGCCATGTCCCTTCCATACAGTGGTTTCTCTGGATTCTCTGAATCTTTTAATGATATTATGTACTATAGATGATGAAACCCCCCAAGGTCTTTTATATTTTACATTTCCTAACTTTATCATAACTTTATATTTATTACTTTAAACTTATATTTTTCAAAACACAGTAAAATTTCTCAGTTTCAACATTTTAGCAGTTTTCTTTGTACCATTTTCAATTAAATATAGACTTTAAATGATTTACACATCATTGCATTCTGCTTCAACTTACAATTTGCACAGTGTCCCAAGATTTTTGGATATACATGAAATGGTTGCAAATATGGTGCCCCATGCCTCAGTATTTTACAATAGTTCTGAGATAGTTGGGGCCTAAAACTTCTTTCTTTTTAAAGAAAGAAGTACATGCAGGGTGTTGTAAAGCATAACAGTGCCCAAAGGACTATTTTTCATATTTACCATTTATCATCAACATTTCATAAAAAACCTCAAAAGACAATTTGAATTCACTGGTAATTTTTGATGGTAAATAAAATCTACAGTTTGTGTTGTGGACATCACCACGTCTGGTTCCTGACGTCACCACAGTCAGTAAGTTTCTCAACAATGCACCATTTCACATCAAACCACCTGAATGACTTTGTTTATACGTCAAGAATTTAATTATACAGATTTTTTAAAAATATCAGTAGTAATTCCCCTTTATAATGTTTACGGTGTTCACAATGGTTGCATATCAGTAACCAGAAAGTAGCAAAGCTTAAATGGACTAGTTCTTTTCCCTCTATTAAATAGTAATTACATTTATAGCATTTGGCAGACACTCTTATCCAGAGCAACTTACAATTTGATCGCTTCACACAGGTAGGCAAAGGTAGTGTTAGAAGTCTTGCCCAAGGAGTCTTATTGGTATAGCACAGGGTGCTTGCCCCGGTGGGCGATAGAACCCCAGTCTACAGCATGAAAGGCAGAGGTGTTACTATACTTATTCATACATGTGTACCTTGTACATCTTTATGCTTCTTCCCAAAGTCAGATCTATTCACATACTTTCATACAACAGTGATCAGGACAACTGTTCCTTCCAAACTTCACTGACTAAAATGCAGAAGCTTAAAAGGGCTCACACTGCACTTTTGAGCTGGAGTAGTATTACATATCTACATCATTAAAGTGAATCAAACACTAAACTCATATATAATCTTTGAGGCATTTGTTCTTAAGATTACCTTTTAAATTATTATCAGACAGATTTTAATAGCTACTGGGGCAATGGGGAAAGATCCATGCATACTTTGTCATCTTTGTATTTATTCAGTGGAGAGCAAAGAAATACAACTGTGTGGCAGAATGGGTATTGACTGAGATGTACTAAGATGTATCTATATAATTAATGTGGATTTATGATTTTTTTTTATTTTAGTCATTAAGTACACTTAGATAACAGCAATTTACAGCAATTTGCAGTGACGATATTAATCACTGGCCCAAATCATCCACAATTCTTCCACTTAGTCATTTTCCTCCTCTAAGGCTTATATTGTCAATGTTTTACAATCCCAGGAGAACATTTTAACATAAAAAAAATAAAAATTCAAGTAGACATATTGATATGTTCAGGCCTGTTCCTGGTTCATTAATCTAGTCCAGTGAAATCAGAGATGATAACATAGTATATACACAAATTCCATTTGTTCTGTTAAAAAAAGATGTTTTCACAATGTTTCAGAGTGTGTGATTGTGTTATCAAATTGATAACATCGATCTTTAATGTACTCTAAAGTCATTACCAAGTCGTATCTGTTCCATTACAAAGACAGAGCCACAATACAGCAGCAGTGGCTGGGGATGGTTAAGCTATTTCATAAACATGTACATTAAACTCTTTCTCCCTTTGTCTGAATAAATTAAAACACCAACACGGCTTGTGCAGTAGCGCTGTGATAGACCTCCTGGGTGCAGCGCTCATCAAAGAGCAAGACAGAGGCGGAGTGGAGGATGGAAAAAGATGAATAAACTGCTGAGAATGAGACAGAGAGATAAAGAGAAAGAGACCCCTGCATATGAATACTGTTTTTAACACACCCTCACCTACTTCGTCTCATTATTCGGAAGTGCATACCACCTACATTACATACAAGTGGCCGCCCTTAGGATGAGGGGAACAGGGGACAAAGGGGTACAGCTTTTACAATCAGAGCTGTTGTGTGTTGTCCTGTGATTTTTTTTTCTTTTTTGTTAGCTGTGTGGCCAAGAATAGTTTTGAAATGTTAAGTATTTTAGTGTATTAAATATTACAAAATTTAAATATTAAGTATTTTATTGCTCTGGCTTGTGGGTTTGAAAAGGTTTGAAAAGAAATGCTAGTAACATAAAATAATATTTCATCAGATCGCTATGATTTATGTTCACTCAGTCCCTTGTCTCTCAAAGGGGTTATCATAAGCCCTTTTCACCTGTGTGTTTACGGGGGTATTTAAAAATAATTAAACAGGAAGGGGTTAAGTGTGACCCCAAGATGAAGCCGAAATCCTGGGAAGATTGACGAAGCAAAAAAAAACCTGGCACAATGCTTGTAAAATTACCGCACGGGTTTATGTGTGAACATTACTAGTAAAGTTGTATAAAAAACTAAATAATGTATCAGCTTCTGTTGTATTTGCATTCAAGTTTTCAGTTTTTGTAAATGGAAAGCAACATGGGGATGGATGATTGTTGTGACATACTGCTAAAGACAAGCACCAAGAAAATGCCCCTTTGAGTGTGCGTGGTCACTACTGCGCAAAAGCAAAACAGCACCACTGGCAAAGTGGAATGTTTCTATTTTTGTTTTTACAGTAAAGTTTTCAGTTTTTGCACAAGAAAAAATAGCAGGAGTACATGATTAAAAATTGAAGAGGTGTTGGACATTCATGCTAAGGATTTCATGTCCTGTTCATCGAGAATTTTATAGCTAATGTGAACACAAGCATCCCAGTAAACTGCTGTTAAAGGGCTACAGTTGTGAAAAGCCCCCTTTACATATCGCTGCTGTCAGAACAAAATCTTGTATCTCCAAAATGATAACTTTACAGGAGAAGAAAAAATCCTACTTTACTTTTAATGGAAGTCAGCGGAACCAGAATATTTTCCAAGTAATTTTGGGCCGTTTCTTTTGGTCCATTCATCATGAAATTTACACAATATAAAGGCCAACAGGCATTTTCAGATTATGTCAAAAACTGAAAATCAACAAACATGGAGATACAAGGTTTTCTTCCGACAGCAGCGATATGTACTTTAACAGTAATTAAACAGGAAAGGGGTTAAGTGTGAACACAACTCGAACAAACTTTACTTGAGATAATACAGTATTGGAAGGAATTCCCCATAGGGGGAAATGGTGAGGCCAAAGCTGTGCTCCCTATTAGAAAAGAGTGCACTTTGCTGTGTAGCGATCAGCTTTTTTGCCGCGTTGTTTGAATTCACAGCAGTAAATCTGTGAGTCGTTCTGTCAGTCGTGCTCTTTCCTAAGTCCACTCCATAGCAAACACTATTGTCAACACTGAGCAAGTGAACGAGGGCCAGTTAAAAACAGTATTGAAATGGAAGGAGGGAGAGAGACAGAGAGGTACAGATTCACCATCGCACCACCTGACTGCTGTAGTCCTCCGTAACACCCATGATCCTCTCCTTCCCCTCTTCTTCCCTACCCTCCTCTTCCTCCCCTCCCCATTGCCTGAGCTGCGAGGCCCTGTGCTCCCACATCCTCCTACGCTGCTCTCTTTTCCTCGCTCTCTCCCTGCGCCTCTCCTGCTGGTGGCAGTGCTGCACGCGTCGCAGGAAGAGCTCGCGCGCGTACTCGTACAGCTGCACGTCCAGCGCGTTGAGCCCCTCGATGCGGAGGCGCACGGCCGGATCCACGGCCACGCCCGCAGCGCGCGTACTGTTGATCTGCGTGAAGGGCGCGATGAAGCGCAGGCCGAACGTCCTCTCGAACAGAAACTGCGTCTTGCGCTGGAACTCCGTCAGGCCGAAGAAGGCCATGCGCTGCAGGTTGCGCTTGGCGCTGTCCAGCAGCAGCTCGGCCCGCCGGCCCTCGCTCATAGAAGACAGGTTGTAGCAGCCGACCAAGCTCAGGTCGGCCAGCATGCGCGTCTGGCGATTGTTGGCCAGGTTGGACTGACAGGCCATGAAGTCAGCCAGGGACACCCCGGTCCAGTCCTCGCTGCTGTAGCAGGCGGGCAGCTCGGCGGGTGTGGGCGGGCGACCGTCGCACATGTGGAGCGCCGTCTTCCACGTGGCGCCACGCTGCACGTGCTTCCATTCGCTGAGGTAACGGGACACAGGGTCCCGCAGCAGCGTGATATAGTAGAAGTTCCTGCGAACACACGAGATGGGGCTGTTTTGTAAATGATGTCACTTTATTTACAGTATTTCTCAGTCATAGCTAACAGATTCGTTCCAAGCTTTCAATACCACCTTTGTGTTCATACGTGGAAATGTTTTGTTTGATTTTATTTGAGTTTGATGAAAAGTTATTGCTTTATGGTTTTTTGCGTATTGAAAAATACAAACCAAATTCGAAAAAAGCCGGGACAGTGTGTAAAATGCAAATAAAAAACAAGAAACAGTGATTAGCAAGTTCTGTTTGACCTGTTTTAAATAGACATAACAAAAAGACAATATTTAATGTTTTACCTTATGAATTTGTTGGATTTACTTAATCCAGTTATGTCAACAACTTCCATGAAACTGTCATGTGTTAGATATAATTTAATAGTATTATTAAGATGGCAATAACTGACTTATATGCAACCAGCATGACTTTATTAGGCAGTTCCAACATTATCTGGTGAACTTGGATTTAATTAATAGATCAGTGTCCAGGTAACTAAACTGAACAACTTGGCATTAATCAATACAGTAAGTAAAGCAAAAGAAATAGCATTTTGTTGAATTCATGTTGTTCAGTTCAGAATATGCTGTCCTACAGGAACCCCTCTAGGACATTCTTATTGTACCGTTTTGATTGTGTGATTTACTCAACACTGTTATGTTGTATCAAATCAGTCAGTTTTTGTGGCTTTAAGATAAAGTGAACTAGATTTAAAAAGCTATAACAACTCAATTAATATGTTAATTGAACTGGATATAGGTGCATTTATTTAACTCAACGACTCACAAAGTTCACTTTTGTCAATATAATTTATATGTACAGCCAACAATGTGGCTAGGCTGTTAACTGTGGAGTTTAAGAAAGATACACGCACAAATGGAAGGTAGGCCGGGGCAAAGACAACACCAAGAGGGTGAGTAAAACAAGTAAGACAATATGCAATAGAGTCTCAACTAGATCACATTGACCAAACAAACACTTAAGAAGTAAGCCTGATAACTTATTTAATTTCATTGAAACAACTCAGCTGACTCAGTTTCACTGATGTACGAGCATTTGCTAAGTAAGATCAACAAGAGAAAACTGACTGAAACCAACAACAGTGATTTAATTTTTATAAGGGTTTCTTGCTGTATTTTGCACTTAATAATGCACCACACATGTTCAAGAGGAGACAAGCAGGACATCAGGCCAGAGAAGCCCAGACAATCGGTGGCATTTCCGGAGCTGTTGACATATGGCTTCCACTGTGCATAATACAGTCTAAACTTGAATTTGTAGATGCAGTGAAGAATGGCATTTATTGACAGCACTTCGTCAAAGTATTCCTGAGCCCATGTGATGGTGTCACTTCCCAAAAGCATGCCATTTTTTTAATGCAGTGTCGTCTGAGGGATCGAAGGCCAGATGTGTTCAGTTGTGGTTTTTTGCCTTGCCTGTTCACGTGGATATTTCTCAAGATCCCTGAATCTTTAATGTCATGATGCACTGAGGAGGGTGAAATACCTAAAATCCTTGCAATTACTCATTGAGGAATTTGTTTTTCTAACTTTTACGTTATTTGCTGACGCATTTTTTGCAAAGTAGCGTGCCTCGACCCATCCTTGCTCATAAAGGTCTAGGAGTTTCTTGGAGATTTCCCTTTTATACCCGAGCATAATTGCACCATCTGTTGAAGATGTTTTTGAACATTTTACAACGTTCCTAGTTTTAAATTCCCCAACTTTTTTGGAACGTGTTCCAGGCATCAATTTCAGAATGAGAGTATATTTACAAAAAACAATGAAGTTGATAAGATAAAACATTAATTATCTTGTCTTTGTACTGTTTTCATTTAAATACAGGTCAAAATGGATTTACAAGCACAAGCGTCTTTGAAGGCCCCCCACCCTCTGACAATAACACACATACATAAAATAGACCTGAAAATAACTTTATTAAATAGTCAAGTCAAGTCAAGTCAAGTCATCTTTATTTATATAGCACATTTAAAAGACAACGAGTGCTGGCCAAAGTGCTGTACAATAAGATCATATAACACAAACCTATTTTAAAATAATACAATCATGTAAAAGAACCTGATGACAAGTCAGAGTCGACCAAGACAAAACAGACAACTAATAGCATAATCTGCTCAGGACTCAAATGCCTGAGAGAAAAGATGGGTTTTTAAGTTGGACTTAACAGTGTCCACTGTAGCTGATTCCCTTATAAAAAGTGGAAGTTTATTCCAAAGTTTTGGAGCAGCTACAGAAAAGGCCCGATCACCTTTGAATTTGAATAGTGCATATAAATGTGCATTTTTGTTTGTTTAAACAAACAAAACCACAGTTTATAAAATTCTCAATTAACGTGCAATAGCCTATTATTTCTTGCCTTGTTATATTTCTGCACATTGTTGGTCTGAAAGGGGCTTTTAAAAGTTTTATTATACACTTCTATGACCTAAGAATGGCTCAGTCAGTTTGCGTTGGAGTCCCTATAGTTACTGAATAATAAGGCTTAGTATGTAATAAGCCTGGGATTTTAAGGGGTCAATTATTTGAAATACAGTTGCAGGATGTGGGCTTTATTTCATTTATTTAGCCATCATCTGTTCAAAGGCTCTTCATATATAGTTTTTACATCTGTAGTGGACTGCCCTGAGTCTTTGAGCCACCTTGGACCTTGTGGTTTGAGGTTTCCAGTGGACCCTGGCAGTCAGAGGCCCTGGACACTGGCCCCACTTGCCTGGTTAGTATGGCAGCCTCAGCAGCAGCCTCTTTCTCAAATTTCTTTGAGATACAGGCAAAGCCCAATCAGAGTGGACAGTTTTGTTTACAGCTGTCCGAACAACTGGCAAAGAAAGAGATATGCAAGCAATGCAAAAGCATTTGTTTGTTGATTTAACTTGCGATTGAGCCGCATAATGCTTGTGCACACACAAAAGCTGCACATCGCACAAGTCTGCCTTAAATGCACACTTGTAAAATTAGAGCTATCTAGGTCTCTTGCCCTCTACGTCTGCATGTAGAGGAGGACTGGGACTTTAAACTATTAGTCTCAGCCTCAGACACCTCCACCCTACACTACAGATTTCACAGATTTCATTCCAGTAGTAGTAGCTAGTAACTAACACATCCTCGTGTGATGGCCAATGCATACTACTTGAATTCAGAACCATCCCCGGGGACCCCGGGGAGCAGTTGGGGGTTAGGTGCCTTGCTCAAGGGCACTTCAGTCACGTACTGTCGGCCAAGGGGATGGAACCGGTGACCTTCTAGTCACAAGTCTCCAGCCCACGACTGCCCAGGTCATTTTTGTTTTCGTGCAGGTCTGTTTTCTTAAGAATGGCTTCCATACATGTCAGAATAAACAATGGTCTGTGGTAGGTTATTTTGCCTGTCTGCAAATTACCATTTCCTGATAAAGTAGGTGGTTCTTGGCCATGTTGAGCAACTAAACCCACTGGACTCTTTGATGATGCAGTCTACAGTTTAACAAGCTTAACAAGTCATATGATAAGTGTAGAGAATCTTCGAAATATGATTGTGAAAAGGTTTAGCTGGTTTAGCTCATTTTGTTTCATAACTGTGAACTAATAGACAGTCAGCATGCATTCATAAAATAATAACAAAGTCCAGAAAACAAAAACTCTATCTTTAAGTCATAAGAGTAAATGGCACATATCTAAAGTTTGCAGATACAAACAGTTTGTCTTCAATGATTCATCTCTCTACATGTACAGTGAATCCCAAAAATAGATTTCAGCATTTGCCTCCTGCCTCCAAAATAAACTAATTGGTCAAATTAGCATAAAGTTACTCTGTAATAGTTACAGAGTGTCATAGCACTGCTAGTTGTGTGACAGTGTGTCAGGGCTGGGAGCTGAAGAGAGGAGATGAATCTCACAGTTTAGCTATATTTACATTGAGCCCAGTGACAGCAGCTCTTACTACTGTAAGAAAAACAGGGACATGAAGTGGTGGTTTCTGGCAACACTTGTGATTTAAATGATCACATTTACTTTACATCACACAAACTTTAAATGACACACATAGCACTTTTGTGATAACTAAATTGGTAACTGCAAACTTGATTGTGCTAGAGAACAAATGAATGAAGAACTCTTCTCTAATGTCTCGCTCATTTTCTCTGCTCACTACACAGGGAGAGCACATTATTTTTGTCTAACACATTGTGAGGTATGCTGCAGAGTGTTAATGTAATTCCAACTGGACACAACCCCCTCGACAAATGCAGGTAATCATTTCAAAGCTAACGTGAATTTCTAGCTTAGGGAGAGTGCAGGCCTATATGACACAAATAAACATTCACCAAAATCTGCATGGACAAACTGTATGTTTGTATTATATGAATGTATGTCTTAATTACATTATTGTATTTCATGTAGCAGTGGGTTTTCCTTCTACCTGATTGGACTTTGCAGAGAGATGTTGTACAGTGTACGTGTAGCAGTGGTGCCCCCAAAACTTTTTAACCCAGTTTTTCTGAATATCTTGGGGTAGCACACCAAAAGCAAGAGCCACAACTGAATTTCAGGAATTCTATTATGCTATTGCAGTATATAAAACTCATTATGAGAGTTAAGGAATTGCATACTGATATAGTTTGGTTTCTTATTTTACAGTTAAATGTTATTCATTATCTGATGTGCATTAGGGCTGTCAAAATTGACCAAAAAATGATGTTCAATTATTCCTTCTAAAATTGGTTCAAACCATTTGAATAGCTATTTATGTGCATTATGACCATAAGAGAGCAAACCAGTACAACAAGAGTGTTGCATCAGATTCAGTTCCCCCCTCAAATTCCCATTCCCCTTCATGAATTTCTGAATTATCAGGGGGAACATGAACCTAAAGTGGAACTACATCGGATGCATTTGGGTGCATATTTTCAAGATGTGGCCTCAGGTTGCTAGTACTGGAATGGTGCTAGAACAACTTTATCTCAAGCTTTCACAATTCTGCTGTGTACTG